CAGTTTACAACGCAAAGGGCTTTTGCAGTGCCCCTCGGATTATTAAGTTGCTCTGTAAATTATACCATATTTGCCGGGGGGGGGGGAGGGGAGGGAATAACGATCTTTTGAGCAAGTTCTTCTCCTGCGATCAGAGCGCAAAATGGTTTTTAACAGGTTTTATTTTTTTTCCCCCTAGCTTTTTCCTGGACTGGAATTATTCTAAAGCACGCGATCTGAAGCCCATTTTGTTCGTGCTCACTGGTCCAGAATAACTTGGCCATTATGACCGGGAATGGGCCAGGTTTGAAGCGAGCTTCCTGTGCGCTGGCAATATCCAGCAGCAGGCATGTGGGAAAAGAATGGCTTAAATGGGGACATCTGTTCAGTGTTGCTCATCTCACGCTTACAGCCAGGTCAGGTTACGAGAATAACCTGGTCGCCACCTTCCCCCCCCCCCCCCCAGTTAATACGACTGGGGGGGGGGGGGAGAGGGCAGTGGGGACGCTAATTGCTCTGTTATATAGGCAGATAGCTACAAAAAAAGGTGGCAGCTATACTATAAGCGGAACAGTAAATAGATCAATATTGGACTCTTTCAAAGCAAATCTCAGGACTTCTGTCTATCACGACGATCCGGAAAACGGGAGCTACAACTGTTTAATGGTATGCAGCATTATCGGAGGATCAGGAATTCTTGTATTTAATCGACAAGGATTTATTTTCACGTTGTCCTTTCTCTGCAAGTGGCAGCATGTCAACACCCGTGGGAATGTTTCCTTTTTCTTCTTGTATATACTCTACAAACCGTGATTTCTGGTGCTCTGGGGGTGTGCGTGGACTGGGTGGGTGGGTTGTTTTCTTTTAAAATCTATTTTCAGGGCATAACCTGGCTGTAGACAATCACTATTAATGGGAACGTCAGATCTCCCACACCGATTTCTCAGGCGTTTCCTGTTTCTTGTCACCCACTTGTAAAGCTTGTACAATGATTCGAACACGTGTGGTTAAACCATCGGACCCAGAGCAGCTCCTAGATTATTTGTAATTAAACAGAATTCCCCAAGTAACATTTATCTTTCCGAAACTGCGATTGCAATTGTCAACCGTCTGGAGGAGACGCTGGGTAATCTGGAAGCATTACCTCCTCTACTAACAGAGCAGCATGAAAAGAAATCAATAGTTCCAAGGACCAGAATTTAGTAGTTTTTAACTGTAAAGTGGTAACTGTGAGGAAGTGAGATATAATAGAAACACAGAAAACAGTTTAAACAAATCTATTCTAGGAAAAACCAAAGCGACCTACTGTATTGCAGAGAGGAGGTCTATCTCGCGCATTCTCGCTGTCCCCCTCTCTCTGCATAACAGAAATACAGGCATACACACGCACGTAGGTTAGAAGCTCACTTTCTCTCCATAACGTGTCTCATGTACTTACACGATCACTTCGGAACGCCGCTGGTGTACAGTTACACAATCCCCGTGAAAATGTTGCTCAGTTATATTGTATACACCCCCATCTATAAAGCTTGTGATACGAATGCACCTCTCTCTCTCCCCAGAAACACAATAATATGTGCATACTGTATTCACACTGTAATCTAAGTGCAAAGGCATCGATATTTGAGAGACGCATGCCCTCTTTTTGACCAAACTCAACATAGTTTTTGTCCTCTGTTAGCTGAAAATAGAAGATCAATCTGTGCCCTTGCGAAAATGACTCAGTAAGTAAGCCAGGCTCTAAGGCAGAGGAGCGATGCCCATTTTGAGACATTTCAACCCTTTTGAGATGAGAAAGCGGCAGCATTAAGGTTGTTTAAAAGTAATCGTGAATGTTTTTGAAAACAAATCAACAGAGTTCGCGTACAGGACTGGGAACAATACTGCGCTTGCAGGTACAACATGAGATATCAATTAGGTACATTGTGTTCGGTAATAAATACAGCTAGAAAAAGGATTCTCTGCTTTCAGCAGAGTCTGCTTCTCATTAGACCAAGATACCCTACTGCACAGCTGCAATCAACGAATTTGCCCAATTACGTAATGAGAGAAACGTCCAAAATCAGCCAGAGCGATGGAGAGATGGGGCTGACAATCAAATAATAGCATTAATCATTACTATTGGTAAATTATCATCGGTAATAACAGTACAGTCCTTTCTGGAAGGTGTCTATGTTTTTTCATCTTCCATTTTTCCTCCCAAGCTGAGCCCTTGCAGCCTGGAGAGTTTGTTGTCACCGCTCAGTAAATCATTAGACACACAGCCAGGTGAACGTGGCTTTAGAACAGCAATGTAAAAGGGGGTGCCCGTCTGAATCCACAGGTACCTGCTACAGTTTGTCCAGGTTTTCTTTTCAGCAGGAATGCAAGAACGGAAGAAACTTTGGCCATAAACCCGAGGGCTTCAAAACTGTGCAAATCCAGAATCCGGAGGGACCTGCCTCCCCCACCCCAACCTGGGGGTTCACCTCCCGCACGGTTTATTTATCAGCACCCCTGTCCAAGATAGGAGTTTCCAATGCAGTGACCATGAGGGGGTAAGGAATCCAAGTCAATTAGATCCCCCCCAAGGCATATGTCAAAACCTGAATTTAAACCAGTTACATTTAAACAGGCAGGTTTAGCTCTAAGCTGTAGCCTTCACTTTACGCTTCCGGAAACGGCTGAGAAAATGTGCATAATTACTTAGACACTAAGCGATTTAATTGTGATCCTATAACATTCAGGATATTACACGATTATTAATATATCACAGCCACGCACAGGTATTATAGACACAAAACACACACTCATAGAGTACAAACACTTGCAATATAGTCTCATTTTTAATATTTACCTTCCAGGTGTGATTTGTTCATTATTTAGATTAAATCCTTTCCAGCTATTTCCTTCTGAAATAGCCGGAGAGGAACTATGTTTCCATTGTATCAAACAGAAAGAGCCCCCCTCTAAAGCACATTGTATGCAGGCAGCTAACCCTGAGGAGCATTTATTTATTTGATTATCAGGGTACTGGTCCGAGGAAAGGGTTACCGAAAGCTCTCCTTGCGGGTAAAGTTCTTCAATTGCTAATGTATACCGTAGACACAAGGTGTTTGGTACACTTGAGCAAGTTGTTCCCAGGATGTAAATTAGGTCCCCAAAGCTGTTGTCCAAATCGAAGAAACAGAGAAATTAATCTGGGAGACTATCCATCATAGCCTGTAATAAAGGAAGCGACATGGATGAGACAGATGATATGATTAAGGAGCTGTGGTCGTTTTAATTAACTTTTTGCTGTCCTGTAATGATCAAACTGGTCAACAGACCCGGTCAATAAGCATGTTAATATCAAACAAATAAAACCAGGGATGATTAAAAACCTCCTGGTTTATTAAATTTGAAATTCAAATGAAATTTATGCCGCAGATGCATACAGAATACTAATAGATTTTCGCTTTATTGAAAGTGGATCCCACAGGTTTTCAAGAAACAGCACGAACATTTATCTACCCCAGTACATTAAACTTCAAATGGAAAAAAAGTTTTAATTAATTTCGGAAAAGCCTTTACTTGCTAGCTTTTTTTCCTCCCCTCCTCCGCACAAACCTGCATATTATCTTGCTGTAATACACCCTTAAGTGTAGTGGTCAATAACTCAAATGCAAACAAAATTGTAAGCTTTCTTAAATCCTCTGCCCAGCAGGCAATGTATACAAAAGGGGGAGGTTACAGATGTTCCTGGGGTGAATTCAGAAATGGTCAGCTCACTTCTCTCAAATTTCAGAGCTGCTGTTTTTCCAGTTTCAGTGAAACTATCAGACCAGCAGAGTGATGCTACTGACCCTATTTTTGTGTTTTTATTCAGTTACGATTATGTATTTGCCTTTGTTTTTCCTCTGAAACCTTTTGTCAAATTCCCATTATAGTGACTCTATGATTTTTGTAAGAGTTTTTTATTATTTCCAACGTCCATGTTTCACTGCTTTATTTATTTCGACAGAGGAAAACAAACTAAAAAATAAAATCTTTCAGAACAAAATTTAAAAAAAGTTAGTAAAAGTATAGGAACACACAAACTTCATAAAAGGTTCATTTCATACAAAATGCAGACAAATGTGGAAGCGATCTAATTAAAGACCTAACTAGAGAGGTTATCTAAAAAATACCACTTAAGCATTGTACTTTGCTCATGTATTGGAACATACATAGAGGAACTTTATCAGGCTGAGAGTAAATGATCTTTATGCAGCCTCTGGCACGCCACAAAATGCGATTTTCTATTCCGCTTGAAAAGCATATAGCTTAAAATGCGTGTTTTGCTCTTAAGCTTTCTGATCTGTGTCTTAATAGTTACACTCCAGCTCCAACAGCTAAAGGAAGTAGGATAAAAGTTAATAAGCATTTATACAAGGGAGTCTCTCACGAAAATTCTCCCCCCCCCCCCCCACCGGATGATGGTATTGATTAGAATTAAACCCGAAATTTAAACAAGTGTGCATTAGGTCTGTAAAATGAATATCATTATAGAAGGAGACCAAAGCAATGAAGTTAATTCTTTTTTATTTGTTAAACGGAGTTCCCTCCTTCCCCCACCCCTTCCTCCTTCTGGGCTGGCCTGTCACGCCTTCTCAACAGGCTAAAATCATTCAGAGCAGCTCGCAGAGAGAAACACGACATTTATGGTAACCGTCAGTCTTCAGAGAAAGAAAGCAGTTCATTAATTTACTTCCCTCTTACTTCAAAGTATGATAATGTACGTTACCCCCTTAATCAATAGATATGATGTACGGTCAATATCCCCGCAACACTGAAACAAGTCAAAAACCCAAACAAACATCCACGCCGACTTTGCTACCCGAAGTGTACACCAGTGATGCTGTATTCACCCAGGGACAGCTGTATTTTTTCTGAATTTTAGGAAGCTCTGATGCATTTGATTAAAAAAACCCAATAACCCAACCCAAACATAGTAGGCCAGTCAAAACAACGCAGCTCACCGTTGCTCACAGTATTAATAACTCCTACCTTTAAACTATCAACATTTGGACGACAGAGGAGAGGAGATTAAACTGCGTATTTTCAATACACAAAGAGGAATAGCACATGAAATATTGTTTACACTGTTGTATAGCTGCTGTGTTCCTGAAACTCGGGTGACACTTTCTGAAAATATACACGCCAAATGATCTCCGCGTACCTATAACCTAGGGCAACTGGCACTGTCCTCACGCGCCTGATATATGGCTTAGTCTGGGTTGCCAAAAACGTTCGCGCAAAGCAACAGCAACGTAAAAGGAATCCGGACAGAAATCTACCTCACTGCGGGGAGACAGTCATTGTGCTGAACTATTTGCCTGTTTCCCTTGAAAAGATAAACGGTCTGAAAGCAAACCGAAGTGGACTGCAATCCGAACTAGCTAGCTATAAGGGAACAAACACCCCACCCGGAAAGTGGGACCTTTGGATCCACGCCAGATACCTAACAAACGAAAAAAAAGTCCACCAGAAGGCACACTCCATAACTTCTAGCCACAAAAACCCGACTACGTACACACTGCTAAAGGGAAAGGGGGGGGGGGCGAGGCAGGAGAGTAACAAGATCTACAAACGACTGAAACTAGGGCCACTCACTGAACTGAAAATGCTGCAGGGAGTTTTTCGAGTCACGAAGGGGGCTGGGAAGGGGGAAGCAGAAGTGCACTCGGGTATTTGCACTGAGTATTTGGGGGCACCCTGTCTTTGGGGGCACGCTCCCTCCCTTAGATTTGCAGGCGCTCTCTGCGTCTTTCTTTTTGGAGAGCCGCTGCCGCCCGCGTTTGGTGGGGCTGATGACCTCACGCAGTAACGTCTCGGAGAGGCCCGGCGAGGCTGTAGATTGGCTGGCCGGGACTCAGCGGCACTTCAAAGCCTGAGAGGGAGCTACAATTGTGGTGGAATGGGCGGAACTGATCATTGTATTGCACACCTCTAAAAAAAACACTGCCTCTGATTTATCAATATAAAAAAGATCCTCTGAGAGGAGGGCACTTTTGTGTGATGGCAACTTCACTTCTAGGGGTGAGTCTAAGGATTTTTTCTCTTGCTGGTTTAATTAGTTTCTTTTTATTGTCGATTGGAGGGGGTTAAAATAGCCCCTGTCTTGACCAGGGCTATCAGTCTCCTCTATTGAGGTTTTTTTTTCTTAAGTACAAGTGAGTTTAGGAGAAAAGAAAGGGGGGGGGGAAGGGGCCAGAGTCACTTTTCAGTGTGCAGGAAAAGGTTTTTAAGGGCATTTGTAGAAGCAACCTACAGCGCTTGGGCTGTGCTGTTCCTGCATCCCCGGTGAAGTGTCCTCTCTTCTTTACATGTGACTGCTGGAGGAAAAAAAAAGCACTTTTCCCGTCCGTGTGCAATTGCTAGTTTGCAACAGATTGCGGTTTTCTTTTTCCCTTTAACATTTTTCAGCCCGTCGCGTCCAGCAGGTACGTTGAACTTGTATGTTTGTTTATTGGTACGTAGATAAGACTGTCTCGCAGCTTTTTGCAGCCTGGTCTTTTTCGGCCTGAGAGAAGCGAACCTGTTAAATCCTGGGGTAAGGAGGACGAGCTGCAACGTAGCTGCCTCCGGGCTGAGGGGGTTTAGTTTTAGCATCGCGGAAATAAATAACTTTTTCCCCCCACCCCCTCTAGGTTTATCAGCGTTAAAATACCCCAGCTAGCCAGAGGCTACGTAAACCCCAACTCTCGTTAGCCAGCCCATTTCAGAGGACGCCTGGAAAAACTTTTCTCTCCCTTCTCGGGGTGGGGGTGGGGGTAGCGATGGAGCGAGCTTGGGTCAGCGGTTTGGGGAGAGGGGCAGAGACGCGATGGGAGGCGGGCGGGTTGTTTCGAGGGCAGGCTCCGAAGCTGACGCCCTTCTTGTCCCCCTCTCCGCAGGAAGAACCGAGGTTAGGCTCGACTCCTTTGGCCATGCTCGCCGCCACCTGCAATAAGATCGGCAGCCCCAGCCCGTCTCCCTCGTCCCTCTCGGACAGCGCGTCCTCCTTCGGCAAAGGCTTCCACCCCTGGAAACGCTCCTCCTCCTCCTCGGGCAGCTGCAACGCGGTGGGCTCCAGCCTGTCGGGCTTCGGGGTGGCGGGCGCTTCTCGGAACGGCTCCTCGGCGGCGGCGGCTGCAGCGGCGGCCGCGGCGGCGGCGGCCGCCCTGGTCTCGGACTCCTTCAGCTGCGGCGGCTCGCCGGGCTCCAGCGCCTTCTCGCTGACCTCCAGCAGCGCGGCCGCCGCCAGCTCGCCCTTCGCCAACGACTACTCCGTCTTCCAGGCGCCCGTGAGCTCCGGGGGCGGCGGCGGCGGCGGCGGGGGCGGCTCGTCCCAGGAGGCGGCCGCGCACCAGCCCGTCTTCCTCTCCAAGGTGCACACGTCGGTGGACGGGCTGCAGGGCATCTACCCGCGCGTGGGCATGGCGCACCCCTACGAGTCCTGGTTCAAGCCCTCGCACCCGGGCCTGGGCGCCGGCGAGGTGGGCTCGGCCGGCGCCTCCAGCTGGTGGGACGTGGGCGCCGGCTGGATCGACGTGCAGAACCCCAACGGGGCGGCGGCGCTGCAGGGCTCCCTGCACCCGGCCGCCGGGGGGCTCCAGACCTCGCTGCACTCGCCGCTGGGCGGCTACAACTCGGATTACTCGGGCCTGGGCCACTCGGCCTTCAGCAGCGGCGCCTCCTCGCACCTGCTCAGCCCCGCCGGGCAGCACCTCATGGACGGATTTAAGCCCGTGCTGCCCGGCTCCTATCCGGACTCGGCCCCCTCGCCGCTGGCCGGCGCCGGGGGCTCCATGCTGAGCGGGGGCCCCGCCGCGCCGCTGGGGGGCTCGCCCCGCTCCTCAGCCCGCCGCTACTCCGGCCGGGCCACCTGCGACTGCCCCAACTGCCAGGAGGCGGAGCGGCTGGGGCCGGCCGGGGCCAGCCTGCGGCGCAAGGGGCTGCACAGCTGCCACATCCCGGGCTGCGGCAAGGTCTACGGCAAGACGTCGCACCTGAAGGCGCATCTGCGCTGGCACACGGGCGAGCGGCCCTTCGTCTGCAACTGGCTCTTCTGCGGCAAGCGCTTCACCCGCTCGGACGAGCTGCAGCGGCACCTGCGGACCCACACGGGCGAGAAGCGCTTCGCCTGCCCCGTCTGCAACAAGCGCTTCATGCGCAGCGACCACCTCAGCAAGCACGTGAAGACCCACAGCGGCGGCGGCGGCGGGGGCGCAGGGGGCGGCGGCGGGGGCGGCTCCGGCAGCGGGGGCAAGAAGGGCAGCGACACCGACAGCGAGCACAGCGTGGCGGGCAGCCCCCCGTGCCACTCCCCGGAGCTGCTGCAGCCGCCGGAGCCCGGCCACCGGAACGGCTTGGAGTGAAGGCTGCGGCGGGGGGCGGGGGAGACGCTGGGGCTGGGCGCCCTCCCCAGCTCCCCCGCGGGAGTAACTGTGTAAAGGGGCCATGGACATGTAAGTAACGTGCACTGTTTTCATGGACACTCTCCCCAGGGCCTCCCTTCCCCGCAGCTTCAGCTCCTGTCTCGGTGCCGGGCCCCCGGGCAGCCCCCTCCAAGCGCGCCTCGCTCGCACGTGGGTTAAGGGGAACTTGGGGCCGGACGAGAAAAGCCCTAGGGGAAAATCGGCCAAGGAGGAGGCAGATCGGGACAAACTAGCGTGAGATGGGGGCCAGCGTAGTGTGTCTCATTGAGAAAGTTGGGGGCCGAAAGCGCCCGGTGCTGCCACTTGGGTGAAGCACTTGGGTGCAAATGGGATTGGAGACTTTTCTTTCCAAAAAAAACAAACAAACAAAAAAAACCCCACCTAAATAAAATAAAACCCTTCCGTGTTTATTTAAAAATCACGTGCTCTGCAGCTGTTAAATGCCTAACGTAATCGCCGTTTCACAGGTCAAGAGCTTTTTACGCGTATAAATAATCATTTTAAAAAACCAACCTACCCCAACCATCAAAGAGATACGCCTGGGAGCAATTCAAAGTTGCCGAAGAAGAGGCACATCTTGCGGGCTTGTTTGCTGGCGATGGAGGGAATGATTTGGGAGTGTTATAACTATAATTTCAAAGTTTTTTTAGAAACACATTTTGCAATTGTTGTTTTTGAAACACAGCGCTAATATTGAATTTAAAACGATCCCGAGCTAATCATTTATTTTAAAAAAGCACTGCTTTCCAGTGAGACCAGCGTGACTGTGTTTGTCCTTTTGAAAAATAGATTTCAACCCCACTTTACAAATTTAATCTCGTTTGCTAGTCCACCGGTCCATTTGTATAGTCCCGTTTCTGTACATTCACACGGTACACCGAAAATAATTAGGATTAAATTTATTTTTTGGTAATTAAATTCAAATCCAGTGAAGAAGCATCCTTGGTTTCAAGCGAAGCTGTAGATCGAATGCCAAAAAGAGGATGATGGGAAGAAATAGGAAAATAAAATATTCGTAAAATACATCTGAATCTAATGGTTTGTACAACTGGGGAAATCGTTCTAGATTAGCTAACAATTAAATATAACTCCACCAGTGTATCGGTGTGAGCTGCAGTTGTTCAGGAGACGATTTTGTATAGTATTTTTCTTGTACATTACTTCTAGTAAATATTTGAAAATATATTGAAGTACACTTGAGCTTTTTTTTTTTCTTTTGTCACGAAAAAATATTAAGCGTTATTGTTGCAGTCCTAGTTAACTGCCTTTTTTTTCCTGGACTTGTTTCTTGAAGTGTATCCTCAGATCGCACTTCAGGATATAGTTTTTGCTTGAATATTAATTTAGATAGGCATAAACCTGTAAGCAAACAATATTTGATAAATGTTGAATGACATTTAATTTAATGGAGCATGTACTTATTTGCATTTGCTGGCAGTTCAGGTATAGTTAAAGTGAGAGTTCTCCTATATTTCATAAAGTGGGTTTGCCAAAACCCATGTATTAAATAAACTGTCCAAGTGAAACTGAACTAATGTTGGCCTATGTGTATTTCCTGAAAATAATATTGATAAATGTTAATAAACACTCCTGACACTACATTAGCTGTTTGCAAATGCTGCAAACTATTTGTCTCATTGTAATGTTGAAATAATTTGGATATTTCACATTGAAATGGAAAGCCTTTCGCTGGAACATTTTAGATTTGCATTTTAAATGCATGAAATATGTAATTGATTTTTATCTGTAATATTTTAAATGGTATTAATAAACTCCAGATAAAACATTCCATTAGGTCAGTTAATTGTTTTTTTTTAATCCAGTCACTGTAGGTGGTTCTTTATTTACCTGAAACTCCTACAGTCTGAATAATTCTCTATATTTTAATGTCAACAAGGGAATACAAGGAATAAAATATAATTTTAAACTATAGTATCTAATGCAAACCATACTTGAGACATTAAAATGGATAATTAGTCAGTCTATATGAAAACTACAGCAATAGCTGAAATTAAAGAAAATGTATTAGCATCTACTATGTGCTGATCCTGTGAAAGCATTGTGTATGAATTAACTGGGTTGCATATACTTCTTTAATTTTTTTCCTCCCCTTTAGGTCGGATTGATTGTAAATGGTCAATTTATATTAAAAAGACAATTATTTCTTAAAAATCTAAAGTAATGAAATGTTCTGGGGATGTTTTTTAGATAGCACAGGACCACCACCTCTACCCACAAAAAGTTAATGAACATGATGAACCCCAACTTTGTATAGCCATGGGGGGGGGGGAGACTTAACAAACCATTGTGTATGAAGAATTATTCTATCCTGACTAAGGGACCTTTTTCTATTGGGCCCAGAATCTGTTAATTTCAAGGACTGTAGTTTATTAACAAGAAGCTCATAAAGCTTAGGAGGACTAAAACTGTTGCTGTATCAGTTGGCTATTGTCCACAGATGTCAGTGAACATCACTGTGAGGGTTTCCTAGAACTGAATATCTCTTACTGATATTATGGGAATGAGTACAATTTTTAATTTTTGGTGAAAAGTCCTAGTCAACTCTTCTTGCCTTAGAACTTTTTTCTCTTTGAAAACCTAACCTGCTCTATTAAATATAGAACTTGCATTCTGCCAGATTATTGAATCCCTGCAAAATTCAATAACAAAAGAAATATGTACACAGAACTGAGATTTCCACAATTGCACTCTGTGCTTGCATGTGAAATATATAACTGTCTATAGCATCTCCTAGCAATTGTAAAGGAGTGATGCACCCAGGAACTTGACCCTATAAAGTTATGGACATTTAAAATAAACTGGAAACAGGAATTATGCTAAATAAAGCTAAATTTCTCAGCAGCCTTATTACAAATGTTGCTGTTTGAGGCCTGCAAAGTTTTCCATTGAAACAAAGCAACAGTTCGCTGTGCCTCTTTTTAAATGATGTTTAAATGGGATTAATGTATTTAAACATAGCTCTATTTACATCTATATGCAAAATGTAGTGGTTTGGTTTCAAGGAAATGAGAATAATCTAAAATGAAAGTTAAATGTTAAAGGTAAGAGGAATGCTTCTTCTGGTAACTCATAATAATGCTCCTTCAGTCTGTCACTTAAAAGAGAAGGAGGCTAACATGACAATAAATAGAAGACTTCTGCTAAATTTATGGAGCTAGCTTTCTGGAATTGGGGCAGGTTTACAACAGGATCTACAAATGACAAAACTCTTCCTCCTCCCTCAAAGGTGTGTGAGCTTACTGGTCCTTTAATGCTTGATGGTTGTATACCAGTAGACATTTTTTTTCCTTTAACTTCCTCGGGAGCAAAATTCCAGTCTCTTTCCCCTTTGTAGCTTGATTTATTTTTACTAAACCCATCTAGTTAAGGGCATTGAGTTGTTTGATACCAACTGCAAATTATCCTGCGTTTAAACCAAGCGTTGTGTAGACCAAGGTAGAATTAAACTAGTTGCTGACCTTCAGGTCAAACTGGTGTCCATCAACCCACCTTCCAAGCGCCTTAGAATTATTGCGGCCATTCTCCTTTGCTCTTTGACCTTTTAAATCTTTTTTCCACAAGCTTGTAGCAATGTCTATCAAATTTCTTGTCCTACTTTTTCCTTTAATTCCAGCTTTTCAGTTTGCAGTTTACACTTTTCAGTAGGGTAGAGAGAGGAGGTGCCTGCAGTTGAGTTGGTTAAAAATACTATGGATTTTTGACTCTGCTTAAATGCACCCTCCCTCCATCCCCCATCAGCCTAATATATAAAGATACTAAATAAATACAATGTTTCTGGCCTTTTCCCCCTGATAATGTAAAAAGGAAAATGAATGCTAAACACTTCATGCTATGCGGATCCAGGATACACGCGTCAACATTTTCATAGCCTTCAAGAAGTCAGTACTGTAAGAATGTAGGAAGGCTTCGAATTTAACAAATAATTCACTCGATTTGAATGTATATTATATAGGGGTGTGTGTGTAGATAGGTAGATGCGCGCTTGCCTAAAACTGGCAAACTTCAGTTGTGTTTGGTGAAGCCACTTCTAATTTGGCATTGAGAAGAAATGGCAAGGAAAACGTGTGAACGTATTAATAGCGTGGTGGCATAAGGTTTAGTGCCTCCAGAGCTTAATCAGATCTGATGAAAGGGTGAAACATTTTCACTCTAATTCAAAGTAGCTTGGTGTTTCCTAACATACCGAAGAGAGCTGCATAATCAGCTAGTTTCATTATACTCTACTTTATTATATTAAAGGGACTCTTTAAGAATCAGAGCTTGATTTTTCCCCAACCTCCCTGAGGAAAAACTGATTGTGAAATATGTACTTTAAATCTTAGACTGATTACTTTTAACTTTACTACTATCGTCTTTCTTTCTTTTCTTTCGTTTTCTCAGGCTTTCTGGTTAATTTGCTTGGAACCTTTCAGAGAAGCTGTTTGTTATGCATCAGGAAAGTGTGTACTGGGAGAAACCACTTCAGTTAGCATTTCTGAGTTTCTAGACCTGTGGCTTTTAAATGCTGTTTGGAACTGTACCCTTTGCTACTTTTTAAAGTTTCTTTTAATTCCTTATTACGGATTCCGGTAAGTGCCGTTTAAAAAAACAACAGGGAGCTAAATTTTGGTTTAAACGGAGTTACTCCGTATTTACACCTAGGTTACTGGAAGCGGAATCTGACCATTCATAGCTCAGCAAGAGGCATAATTATGTTATATACTATGTGCTTTGAAAGGGTCTTTAATGGCCCCAGCCATAGAGGAGCAACTTTGTTTTTCGCCTTTATGGAATTTCGTTTTTAGCAGGCGCAGTACTTAACTTCCACGAGACTCTCTTAAACTAGAGGACAGGAAACTGCTCCATGCCAGGCGTGTGTGTCTATTCGCGTGTGTGCTCCTCATCTCCTCTGGAGGGCAAAGGTCACAAGTCCCTGCTCCCAGGTCGCTGATTCAGCCCAAGCTGGGACCAAACGCCCGTTTTGGGGTGAGGACCGGTAGGGAGCAGAGGAATGTCCAAAATCATGACACTGTCCAGTAGTTGTCTCAACATTTCAACGACTTCTCCCTTACCTGGCCATGGAGCCTTCTCCCCTTCTCAGGACAAGTGCTAGAAGCCAACTCCTACTTATTTCGAGCAGCGGATCTGAGCTTACATTTAAATATGTTTGGAGCTATCCCTTGTCGCTTCTTTCCGTTGCTCCTTTTGGCCAGCCCCACCTTGATACAGGTATAATGAATGCACGTGGCCATGAGCGCTGACAAAGCGCAGCTTCTCCGATCGGAGTAACATCCCCTGGGCTTTCAGCACGTTTCAAACATTTCACGCCAGGGTTTGTCCTGCGCGTTTGAATCCAGCATGGGGTGGATTCGGGAGGAGGCGACCTGAGGGGGCTCACCTCTTCTGCGTCCCTGCCTGCCGTGTCCCACGGAGCAGCAGCAGCATGGCAGGACTTGGTGTTTTTGGGTCCCCTCCTCCTCCCTTCAGCTCCGAGCCTTGCTTGGCGCGCCACACAAGCCCCCTCCACCCCAGGCTGGACAGGCCGCCTGCCTTCCCCTGAGCAGGCTCAGAGCGCCACCCTGCGCTTTCCCCCTGCCGGGACTACAGGGCACTCAAGGGTGGGGGCTTTCCAGACGGGATTTCTCCTCGTCCGGCCCCGCTCCGCGCTGCGGGGCAGCCAGGCGCTGGACAGGAGGGCCGGAGAAAGCTGCCAGGCATTTGTGGACTTTATGCCCTGAACTTTTCTGTTGATTATTTTTTCATCAGCTCCAGCTAGGCTGTGGCGGGGGGAAACCCGGGGGGAGGGGGGGGGACTGTCAGGCCTGGCTCACACTCGGATGAGTAGGGACGGTAGGTCCGGGTAAATCTGGGCGCTGCCTTGCTCGGGGGCGGCCCTGACTGAGGGGCCGTGGGTGAACGCCGGGCCGCACTGGAGTCAATTTCAGCGCCAGCGGAGAGGCTGGCTCGGCCAGTAGCTGCCCCATTCCGCAAGGCAGAGGCGGATCGTGTCCAAGCGCTGTCCGCCTTCGCCCTTTACAAGGGTCCGGAGCAGTATCGGCTAGTGGGGCTGCCCCCCTCTCAGCATCACTGGCCCGCGCCCTGCGCCCAGGCTCCCACCCCGCCCCACTTTGGCTTCTGCTCCTAGCTGCAGCGCCCGGCCCTTTCCCCCCCTAGTGAGCCGCTTGCTGGCTCTGCTGGGGTTTCTCCGACAGCCGCGTTGCGTCCTGCCGTCGCTTCGCCCCCCAGCTCTCCCCTGGCTGGGGCGGGGGCTTCGCCTCTTCTTGCAGGCCTGGCTTCAGAGGGGCTTGGCTTCGCGCGGCTTTAACGCCTTGCCGTCAACAATTGCTGGGCGGCGGTGCACGACCCAGGCCTGAAGGTGGCTCCCCTACGCTGCCCACCGAAATACCGTGAAAAACCCGTCGACTCGGTTTTTGGAGCAGAGACTCCCCTACAATCAGAACGGGGCCCTCTGTGATTGGTGCAGTGAGCCAGTAGCGGTGGCCAGGTGCACGGCCTTGCCTGTACCTGCTGCACTGGTCTGAGTGATCACCTCTAGTCCCATAGCCCTCTCCAGCGCTGGACGGGCTCGCTTTGCTAGGAAAATGAGGGGTCTCTCGCAGGTTCTTAGTCATCCGGAGCCAGCTAGTGCTCAAGAAGCAACAGGGCTTCGTTAGGCGGCCTGTACCTTTACAAAGCGGATTCCCGCTTGCAGGGTTGCTGTAGCCGTGTTGGTCCCAGGCTATTAGAGAGGCAAGGTGGATGAGGTAACACCTTGTATTGGAGCAACTTCTGGGGGTGAAATGGACAAGCTTTACAGCCACACTCTGCTTCATCTGTTCTGCTCCACTTTCTGGTGGCATTTTTTTAGGTTGTAATTCGCGGACCCCACATTTCAAGCACAAGGCCACACAGTGTTTTGTCGTGGAAATAATCTGATGAGAGACGTGCCTTGATATACGTGTATTTATATACATACAACTATATGTATCGACACGCTGCCCTTCAGCGTTTCATATCATTCTCTCGTGCTGTAGCGTCTCTTTAAGCAAGCGAATCACTAACTCACCCGAGTTAAAGCCACACGCAGAATTGGGCTGAACTAGAGGAAATCAAAGCCACGCAGAAGTTAGACTGCCCTTTCCGAAGTCGCGCCATTGTGCCTAGGCAGAGTCAGCGCCTTGCAGCATTAAGCACACGGGGGTGAGTTGAAATTGAATTTCTTTCTCTGCTGACACCTTCTAATGGGCCTCGGAAGGTGCATAATTATGCGGTGTAACACTTCACGGGTTGTTGGAGTGGGAATTCCCACGGCGCTGCAACCACCGACCAGAATCCCCCTGCTACACTCGGTGCTAAATGAGGCTTCACAAGGAGCAGCCCCAAGTGGCTTTCAACTCTCTCTTTTACTGGAGATCATAGCCAAGTCCCTCCCTTCCCTTTAGGAAGTCGTCTTTACCCCTCCGCTCGACTACGGTTTATTAGCGACTTTTTTTTTTTGATTGTTGTTAAAAACACCTTCGCCCGTTATCCTCATTAGAGGTTTTAATTGTTAAGCGCTAGCCGGAGCCGCGGTTTAAACATCAATTCTCCACAGAAGAGCCCATGCTCGCAGCCTACCTGCACTGACCTGTTTGCCAGAGAGATTCAGCCTCAGGGAAACAACCCACCCGTAGGTTTGCCTTAAAAATCGGATCCCAGAATTGATGTTCCCTTAAGTATAAACAGTCACTCCTTGCAATCTGGTCGGTGAAGCGCCGGGATTGCTGGGAGGGTAGGAAGCGATCAGCTAACAGTATTTCTTTGGCGATGTTAGCCTCTCGGTTGATTATTCTTTCTGTGCAAGACGGAGAGGGGTGAAGGAAGAAGAGCGGGTCTGCAGGTGCTTTCGCTTAACGCCAAGAAAAGGAACACATTATTTTGTCACACATCAAAGCCCCATCAAAATACGAGACTCTTGCAAACCGTGGCGGCACCAACGCCGTATTTTGAAAAATTGCTCTTATTTAGTTTTTACAGATCTCTTTCAAAACTGGGCAGGGGAGAATTGACAGTGTAGTATGCGCTTTGGGATCTGCTAGTAGCAATTTAAGCACTTACTTTTAGCACTACACCATACCATTTTCAAAACTGCACTTGGGAGATTTAAATCCCAGAGGAATGCTTCCAACTACTGTGCAGTTTGTTTTTAAACAAATTCTTTTGACACTAGTCAGGAAGATTCTTTTCTCCAGCTAGCGATGGGTGTGCTATTTTTGCTGCCTTGAATTTTTCCACACCTAATTCAGCTCACTATCCCTGTGGTTTTGTAAGAAAGCTTTCTTACTTGAATCCAGGAGCAGAAGGCGTTATTAAATTCTTACAAGTCTTTTAGCAACTGCTTTGAAAGGGACTAAACAATGACACAATCAACATTACATTGATTTCACCCAAGACTCTAACAATGCTACCGGCTGGTCATGTTTACATTGAATGGGAAATTGAATCTCTCATAGGCCCATGGTGCAGCCCAGAATTTCCACAGATAACAATTGTCACTGTTGATGGAACAAGGCCTGCAGGGTTAGGCCCACAGTGAAGAAGTAATGACCAGCAAAGAAACTGTCTTCACACTGCAATTGGACCTACTTATACTGAACGGAAAGGAGTTAGGCTGCCTAATTTAGTGCCTTCTGTTACACATAACCCACGATCAGATTTAGAACTATGTTAAGGAAGAAACTTTGGTGCCTGCATGTGCCCACCCATACTCCATTACATGACCTATTCCCTCCCCTTTATGTTCTCCCTAGGCCTCTAACAGCCTCTGAGCTGTCACTCTCATTGCAACCAGTACTAGTAGTGTAGTAAGTGAATATTTTTAATAATGCTGAAACCAGAATATCTAACCACCTATTTTTAACCAATTCTCCCTTGTCAGAAATTAATTATAATTGCCATATCATTGCAGTAGCATCTCCTCTGAGACAGTTAAACACACCCCACCTTTTGCCTGTATAACTTATTAGCAGGATAATCTCTCTCCTCTCCTCCCTCATTTTTAATACATATACCATGACATTGTTGGAATATATACAGGCGCATTTTATTGATTTTTTCTATTTAGTTGGACAGTTAAAGAGGGATTTCTCTTTTAGGATAGTAAGAGTACTAGTACATGAGACACTACTATCTATTTGGTAGATATGCTTACTTTGTTTTGATAATAGATTTATTTTTTCCCATCACTTGGAGTCTGGTCTTGCACCTCTTAAAGTGTTTACATATATTGGCAGGGTCTGAGTTTGTGTGGCTAACTCCCTTCCATTGAGAGGACGGAAGCTTTGTAATGAAAACACTTTCCAAATACATTTTTAAAAAATTAACTAGACTTCTATAATGTTGAAGGCAATTGATTATTTATGATCACCTGTACAACTATCTTCTAGGCCCTGTGCAAACACAGATTTTTTTTCTTTAGGACTCCAGAGCAATGCATGGCTGGAGGGGTCAGTATCACCCAAGCTTTTCACTGCTTGCTCTGCACCCGTGGTTCTCAATCTTTCCAGACTACTGCACCCCTTTCAGGAGTCTGAGTTGTCTTGTGTATCCCCAAACTACACCTCTCAAAAACTACTTGCTTACAAATCCAGACATAAAAAATACAGAAGTGTCACTGCACACTATTACTGAAAAATTGCTGACTTTCTAATTTTTACCATATCAATATAAAATAAATGACTGGAATATAAATATTGTACTTACATTTCACTGTATAGTATATAGAGCAGTATAAATAAGTCATTGTATGACATTTTAGTTTCCACTGACTTCACTAGTGCTTTTTATGTATCCTGTTGTAAAATCAGGCAAATATATAGAGGAGTTGATGTACCCCCTGGAAGACCTCTGTGTAGCCCCTGGGGTACATGTACTCCTGGTTGAGAACCACCACTCTACACATCTGAAGTGCCTTTTGAACTGCATTCTTTGGAAAGCAGCCAATATGACCTTTGGCCACCAATAGGAGCAACTCAGTGATATGACAGGTCCAATGCACCAAGTACAGGATTGAGAGCAAGGAACTCCTATATTCTAATCCCCGCCTCTGACATTGTGTCTCTAATACACTACCTGTTTAAATGAACAACCGCTCAGCCATCTGCAAAATGAGGTTAATATTTAGCTACCAACTTCAGTTACATAGAAGTGGCTAGTAAGTGTTTGCAAAGTGCTCTCTAATAACAGTCAAGAATCTGCCAGAATGTGCAGTAGACCTTTGCCAAACAGAAGTACAAAAGCCATGAGAGTATTTCTAAAAATGGACCTTGCAAAACTTTTTTCAGATGTGGCCACTATAAACGGATCCCAGTACAAGCCACTTGCCCCCTCTCCCCCCCACAGTGTTACCCCAAGTATCCTGAAGCTACCCTAAACTCAATCCATAGGGCAACAGTCAGTTATGAAATGTTGTCTGGAGTAACTTGGAGAGGCTATGTTATCTGTTAGGCATAACACCCGGCCAAAAAAGGCAAACAGTGAAGGTACAGATTTTTCTACTGCCTCTTTCAATGAGATTTTTAACAAAAGTTGAAAGCAAAAGAGTAAAATGTAGGTTTACGTCAGAACGGACATCTTTCTGTTTCCTAGTGGTATTTCATTTTGATTTCGTTATTTGACAGGTAAAAAGACTAGTTTGTAAGGTAACTGTTGACTTTCCACCAAATGATAATGGGAGAGTTAAGAGGAGGTTTTAAAAAGGGAAATCTGGAAAATATGCAGAAGTCGGCACGTCACTTGGTGGCCAGCGAGAGTACTGCTTATGAAACAGAGTGATTGTCAGTGGTGTAATGTTTGGTGACTTTCTTCTACTGCTTTTAAAGGTTTTACGTCACACTGTGTATACTTTATGCTATATAGTTTCTGCAGAGAAAACTGTGTGTGTGAAAGAATGCTTATACCAAAAGCAATATTACAAATACCTTCTCATTAGTTTATCATGTTTGTACACATACAGGAAGGACCGGAGTGTAATACTGGTAACTAACGGGTACATTTTCAGCACAAAGATTTAGCCACATGTTGATAGGAATCATAATGTGGGTAAATCCCTGTTCTGATATCTTGCCCTTAGACTCTTGTTAGTTATAACTAACTGTATAGGGACGTTCTAACTTCTGCATAACACAACTCTAATAATTTAAATGACAAAACTGGTTTCTGCCCTTTTATAGGCCAAGTTTTAGGGTCCTTATACAGGTAAACTTTCTGAGTTCACTGGGACTTTGCCTGAGAAAAGACCAGGTTGGAAACTGAGTACAACCTCAGGATTTGTCTAAGTCCTGCAATAAGAGATACAAGCAGCCAAAATGAGCAAGATGCTTGTCTCCTTCCTCTAAAAGAAACAAATCTAGCACTGCTAATGGAAGTTAAGCTCTTGAACCATGGTCTACAAAAACCAAAGCAGCATCCCCTGGGCAGCTTTTGTCTAGACATATGTAAGGTTATAGTTTGAACTAGGCATGAGGCCAAGATTTTTTCTTTAAATGGAATATTTTTGGGTACCCAACTTGAGATAGCTGACTATACTCTGACTTTCAGAAAGTGCTGAGCACCCACTAGATGAAAAATCAGGCCTTTTAAATGAGTCACAAGTGAAGTATGCAAAAATTGAGGCAAATAAAATCATCAGTCTCTTCTGAAAACCTGGGCCATAGAGTTATAGTCATGCAACCAAAACTAAATGTGATAAGTGGTTGTTAAGGCACTGTTTATTGGTTTGAAAATACTGTGCCAACTCAAAATGCATTAAGGTAAATTTATTTTTTCAATTGCATGTTTATGGTTAAAACACAATAGCTACCAAATGCTAACACTTGCATATATAAATTCAAAAAAGTTAATGATATTTGGAACCAAAAAAGTTGCCAAGTAATCAATTAACTATTTAAAAAAATACATGTATAACGAACATTTTATTGGCTTATTTTAATTACAGAAATCAAAGAAAAGCATGCTTCTAAAAATAAAGACATCAATTTGATTCCACACATGACACTCACCAGTAGTCAGAATCTAAGGAATTCAATCTCTAGGGATCTTTAAGTTTTATGAATGGTGTGAGAATACCTCACTTGGCTGTCACTTTCCCACTGTTTCTAGATTATATGTATAATTAAGTATGTAACTAGAAGCTGCCCATATAAAAGTAATCAGGTGTTTCTTGTGATCATATCTGGATTCTGAAGATATCCAGAACTACAACCAACCAACCACTTTCTGTCTTGCCAAGTTAGAGCTGGTATGGATAACTGAACATGTCCTGCTATGATTCTTCTTGGATCCCTTAGTCTTCCATCATTTCAATTCACTTAAGTTTAAACATTTTACTTACAAAACAGAAAAGGTGTAACAAATATGATGAAGAATATATGGCAACAGCATATACTTTCATAGTGTCTTTTACTGCTTTGATCTGATGCATGGAAAACTACATTTTTCATTGATGTTTAGTCCTATGTACAGACTAGGTACTTAGTGCTCAAAGGACACTCGTTTTTACACAGATCCTGTTCGTACACACTTTAGAATTCTATTTCTGGTAAAAGGAGAAGTATTCCTCTATTTTAAGTAATATCTTGGGGTAAAATGCCCTGGATGTCAGAGAAGCCAAATACAAAAATCAATGGAGGCTATATACCACATCTTTCTTGCTCTGTTAAATGCCCTGCAGCTAATCTAACTCTACAACTAGAGGATTTGTACACAAGTTCCTTAAACTGTTTAAACTTAGACTTATGAGGGTACAAACTCACTTTAATAAAAACCTATGATCTATCATTCCTATATCGTATATGTTATTTATGGTACAAGTATTAAAACAAGTTACACAATGGGATAAAATATTGTTAGGCCACACTCTCTAAAATGGGCATAAATAGTGCTAGGGCTACGCTCCTTCCCGGTTTAGTAAGTGAGGTGCGAAAGGTCACTGTAGCAATAATCCATAAAGGAAAGAAATACAACCCTAGTACTACCAATGTGAGTAGAAATATCGTAGAAGAAACCTGTATTCTGGGATAACTCCCCATGCTGCAATAAATATGCTGGTCAATTTCCCTGTGTAGCCAAGGCCTTACACACTTTAAAATATTTTATCCTGTTTCTGGGGAATTATCTAGCACAGTGCAAGTGCCACTGCAAACTAATCTAGTGGTGGCACTTTTCCATGCAGGAAACCAAGATATTAAACTGGTCTAGCGGTGATGCTCTGCACTGGAGAATACTGCAAAGACAGAATGCTCAGTTACTGAGGAGGAGACTCAATCTCCTTCAGGCTAAATAAAGAGCAGGCCTGACTCTTCAAGAGTCATAGCTTTGCAGTCATTACTTGTAAAGATCACAGTCAAGATGCAGCACCTTGTGAGTGTCATGTTTATAAAAAATATTCTCCTAAAAAAAAGAAAAAGAGGAGGGGTTATGGAAATCTACAGAGTTCTGATGGAAATTTAAGTTGGCCAGGTAGAACTAAGTTAGGAAAGCAACAATGAAACTAAATAGATGCTTAAAGGAAAGTGACATCTTTGGTTGTGTCGCAAGGTCCAGCTATTTAAGACTGTTACAAAGACATTTAATCAATTATGGTAATAATGCCTGAATTTATTAGATCAAACAGGGTATTTTTATGACAATACAGATCTTAAAATGTTGCTGTTTTTCTGAAATTAATCTGAAAATGCTTTGTACTTCTACAGTATCTTCCTGACAAGATTCTCAAAGTTCATTGAGTCCTATTTTCCAAATGGGGAAACTAAGGTAAAATCTACACTAGAAAGGCTTTGCTGATACAGCACATCTGTACAGTGTAATACGTGTTTATAGATTCATGGATATTTATTAGGACACTGCAAGTATATGGTGATCAGATAGCGAGTGTGAAAAATTGGGACACTTTTTTGCGGGGGGGGGGGGAGGCAAATAGTCGCATGTAAGAGGGCTTGTCTATATTATTGCTTAAGTCTATGTAACTTATGTCGCTCAGGGATGTGAAAAAACCCACCCTCCTAAGCGACGTAAGTTACATCGACTTAAAGCGCTGTCTACACCACACAATGTCAGCAGGAGTCACTCTCCCGTCAACTTAGTGCATCTTCACCAGATGTACTGCGGTAGTGAAGACAAGCCCTAAAGACAAAGCCCCTAGTATTGTGACATCTGGTCACCCTATGTGAATAACAAGTCCAGCACACACAGGCAGCACTGAACAGCCTGCTACACCCTAGGTTCTATCAACAACATAACATACAAGACAACAACTTAACACTAAGATAAAGGTATAGCCCCATCTCCTGGTGGAGGTGCTGTCTACTACACTAATCATTACAACAGCAAAGCCCATTACAGGCATAAGGAGATCTTTTGTTGGAATAGGTAAACTGTCCCCTTGAATGACATAAGCTATATCATCAAAAGGACTCTTTTGCCATCATAGCTGTGTCTACATAGGTATGTGTGTGTTTGCTGGCATAGTTATGTTGGTCTGGGTTGTGGATTTTTTTCCTGACTGACATAGCTATGCCAACAAAACTTTGCAATGTAGATCTGGCCTAAGGCAAAGAGGCTGAGTAACTTGCCCTAGGTCACACAGGATGTTTGTGGTAGGGTTGGACCGACATTCTGACTCCTTCCTGTGCTCTGACCAAAGAAGCATCCTATCTTCTCCTCAATATACAGATTATTGTTTTGCCTGTTAACACCATGGTAGTGCTCAAAGCCCCCGATCAGCACTGAGGTCCCCTTGTGGTAGGTGCTCAGGTAGACACAGGCCATGTCTACATTAGGAAAAAAGGTATATTTTTACAACATGATAGTGAACATGTTGTTAAACTCTAGTGTAGACAGGGAAAGTTGTAATTTTTCCTAATTTATCTCGTTGACAGGAACCCTAGGCTCATCTTGACTAGCTAAATTAAGGTAAAATATACCTTGCCCTGTTTACACTACAATTTTGTAATACCTTAGGTATCTCATTGTACAACCCTCTCCCCCCAAAAAACCCCACAAACACATTTTCTACATACTTACAGCCCTCACCCTAAAAAGAGTGAAATGAGACAAAGTAAGGGATATGACAAGACGAAGAAGGGTTAGAGGTAATGAAAATATAACCCCATGTAGGTTAGCTATTGCACAATTTAAGGTTTCCAAATCACTGAAAGTATGTGAATGTGTTGGGATCTTAAAAATAAGTAAAATCAGGTATTTCCAACTACTGACCCACTCATCCTTTACTCATTGGTTGATTTATTGTGGGTGTCAGAGTAGGAGTGGATCCGTCTGAAGAGAAGATAACAGCTTTATGGCTTAAGTCAGAGAATGCTCCATGCATGTGAAGCAGTGTGGAAAGAACTCTTGTGGCAAAAGTAGAAAAATGGGCATTCAGTGGTGAAATAAAGGGTGCAGGGAAGGGCTGGTGGGGAGGGAGGGGGTCATAACATAAGGTAAGCACTTGGAACTGATGCAGAATATTATTGATGAGTTTCCATAGTTCAGAGCTACTGTACAAATAAATAAAAAGCTGTGTGTCCCCCTCTCATTATAATTGTAACAACATATAATTTATGTTGCAGAGTCTCTTTGAAAATTTGTATACTGCAATATTTTTAAATCAATTAGTAAATGTATAATTTTAAACTGGACAAGGATTTATCCATGAAGCATTAATTTAAGAAATTGTTTTTATGGGAACAAGAAAGGTGGAATGATGCATCAATGTGAGGGCTGTTACTGGGTTATGATTAAAGATGATGAAAATAAAGGTAACAGTGAGGATTCATCAACAAAGCTTTCTCCAGCCACAGTTTGCAAAGATCTAGGATCAGAGGCCACTCAAGACAATCTGCTGTCCTAAGTAAAACTTCAGTGTGCCACCTCCATCCTCACAGACTTAGGGCTTGCCTATACTTTTGGCTAAATCAGCACTGCTATGATTGATGCAGCGGTGTCGATTTAATGGGTCTGGTGAAGACATGCTAAGTCAATGACAGAGCGCTCTCCCATTGATATTTGTACTTCACCTCCCCAAGAGGCGGAAGGTAAGCTGGCGGGAGAGCATTTCCCATTGACATAGCACGGTGTACACACCGCTGTAAGTCAATCTAAGTTACCTCATATTCAGTTACGTAACTTACATAAGTGAAGTAGCCTAATTTAGGTCAATTTATAGCCTTAGTGTAGACCAGCTCTTAGGGTGGAAGATTTGGCCCTGCCACTCTTCTGTCATGATGGAGGAGCAGCTGGGCTAAATTTCAATGGTGTTATGAACCAGCACAGCGGGACAATTTAGCAAGGGTTGTGCTGGATTCTTCTGAGGAAAATTTAAAAAAAAAATCAAGACTGATTTTTGTCTAGAAGACATGCTCTAGTTCAAACAGAAATTAAGTCCTCTGGCCTGTGTTGTGTAGGAGTTCAGATTAGATTATCATAATGGCCCCTTCGGGTTTTATAATCTGTGAAGATAAACCATGGTAATTAAGAGTAACTGCATGATATGAGTAGCATTATAAAATGATTTGTTAATCTGAATGAAAGAGGCCGAACTTCTAATGTACTACTCTGGGTAAGCTGGAATGGGCTGGAACACACTTGGTCTGGTTCTGGGTGGGAGGTCCAATAATCAGAGCTGGTTGGGAAATTATTCCCCCCTCCCCAAATATTTTTGATGAAAATGAAGTTTGTTTAATTTTAATCCAAATATTTCGACTCTTTTTTATTTTTGATGAAAACCTGAAAAATGTTGAAAATTGTTTTTTGTGTGTACATTTTGTTTGGTTGAAAAGCCTTTTTTAGTCAAATATCGTAAGATAAGACTGGATATTTTGAGAAACAGAAATAGACTATGTCTAAGGCTATGTCTTCTCTGTGCCATAGTGTGGACTATGGGGGTGTGAATTGCAGAGCACACCTCTTTCAAATGGGACTCTATTACCATGAACTAGGTACCTTTTAGTTTGCACCAGCAGCCGCCACATGGGGGCAGTTAGAGCGCAATTCTTTGGTGTGCTGTGCAATTCACCCCTCCATAGTCCACCTTGCAGGCCAGTGTAGAGAAGCTGTCTCTTACTGTCATATTCCATGCTGTGAACAGGGACACTTATCTAATGTTTCCCTGTATGCAGGATGAAATATATGTGAGTAGGATTAGATGCTTCATAAACTGCCTGAATATTTGTGGATTTATGGAATGGATTCTTCCATGAAGTGTCCTTAATCCAGATTGCTTTCAATTGTTAATATTTGCATTTTATATATTTTATACATGTGAATGTCTACACTGTTCTGAATTAAGGACACTTCATTATATTAAGTGATATAATAGGGAATTCTATATATCTATCTATCCATATCTGAGGAAGCTGTAGCTGCTGCTTTAGTCACTTCACCTATAGGTAGAAATAAACCTTTCAGTAGGATTGGCCTGACTTATGCTAGGCTCTGCATAGCAGAATCTGAATTAGTTACGCTTTGGGCTAAGACCTTTGGGAGATAAATTTACCCAAACTCGGAACACACTTAGCACACACAGTTTGAAAGGATCCCATATATCATAACCTGTATATTGCAGCCAAGATTAGACTATATTTAAGCGGCTTTTCTAAAAAAAGATGCACAGATAATGTGAGGATTTAGCCTTTAGCATTTTAAAGAAAAAATTTTTTTTAACCCTTTGACAGCTTTCACAGTTAGTTTATAATTTCCTAACCCCCTTAACAGAATCATAAGAACTTGATTAAATATAAAATGTCTCTTGGAAATTGGGCCACTCTTAAAAGTGACTGCTAAAGAGACAAGGCCTTGTTTTTAAAGGAGAATTATAACCGCTTGATTTTTTCATATTGCTGCAGAATTCCTTTGGGGAATGGCGAACTAGTAGGATTATGACATTGCAAGAGATGGAAACTTGAGCAAACTGAGAGGGACAGGATTTTTGTTCACACTCATTTAACTCAAATTCTTGACAAACGCTTGGGAGAAAAGCTTTGGGAAGATTCAGTACCTTCCACCATCAGTTGTGAGCTGAGAACATTCCTAAGCCAGTTCTCTAATCCTTAAAGACTCCACAAAAAACAGTGAAATTAAGATATTGTCTCATTGTTTCCTTGTCTTTTTATACCCATTTGTTGTCTCGTCTTATATGTACACACTTATATTGTAAGCTCTTGAGGGCAGATATGGTCTTTTTGTTCTGTGTATGTACAGCACCTCGCACAGCGGGGTCCTGATCCATGATCAGAGCTCCCAAGTGCTATGGCAATACAAATAATAATAAAATACAATATTTCTAATGCAGAAAAGAAGCAGAAGGAAAACTTAAATACCCATAAACTCAATGGCAGATCTAAAAATAATACAGCCTATTAAAATCCCTAGCAGGGATTCTGTAACAGTTTAAATTGGGATTTATGGGTTAGTGGATTAGTAACTAATTGAAACTCAAGATGCATTATGTAATGAAGCCTGAATATGGATCTAAACTTTTTACAAATTTTAGGTTGTTTGATCAGGTCAGGCCCATCACTAGTTTCAACAATAGCAAACATGTAATGATTTAAACCAACTTTTATAAAAAAAAAAAACAAGAACTCTAACATTGATTTCAAATGATATATAATTATAATTATAGCTACATCTCTACATATCTGCTAAAGCAAAGAGTTCCCGTCCAGTTGCATATTTTATGGAGCAGGCAGAGGGAACAGAGTAGCCCACCTGAGGGAAATACTGAAACATGGTCTGCAGATAACATGAGAAAGAGAGGTTTATCCATGTTCCCACTGACTCAGTATTAAACCCCAGCCTATGGTTTAAACCTCTCCAACATGGATTTCCCAAAAAGGGCATCTTTCTACTCCAAAGGCAAGAACGCTGAGCAAGTTAAACTACTCCAGGTCCTGCGGAGCATATGTGTGTCCAAAGAAGAGTTGCTGGTAAGCCCATAAGGTCAGATCACATCCTCTGCATGCTAACTATTCTTTTTCCTGACAGCTCATTTCTAAAGAAGGCCTCAGGGGCTATCCTTGTTTTAGAGCTGTGTTTGTGCATTTACTAAATTAAAATAGGCTTCACGCTTTGCCATTAGTTGTTGATGAGTTCCTTGTTCTATTATTTTTCCATTGTTAATAACAACAATGACATCTGCGTTCTGTACTGTGGACAGCCTATGTGCAATCACAATACAGGTCCTTCCTTTCCGTGCCTGGTCAAGGGCCTGTTGCACCACCTAGGGAAAAAAACAGAAGACATTATGGGCTTGGTTTTAATACCTTCTCAGAACTGTTGCCCCTACACTGGCAAAATTTGGATCTGTAATTGACCAACAGCACACTTCCACCAGTGGAAGATGTAGTGTACACAGGTCACAGGCATTTTTAAATCAAATTTAGCCAAGTCTGATCTGAATAGGATGAAAGAGTGGTAAAGAAGGCTGCAGGTTCTCTGTGTTACACTTCAACAATTACAGCCACAGTAGGGAATTTCAACTTTGAATTTGCCTACTGCACCCACTGCCCTAAAGGTTGGTCTATATGGGGAAAGACAAGTCTGGACATTTCAGTAAGCCAAAATAAATATTTCTCTTGGGGGGAGGTTAAGTATAGGAACAGTCTTCCATCCATGGCACAAAAGTTTAGGCCGTACTTACACATACAAAGCCACATTTAAAACAGGCTTGGCATAAAACCTGTATCAGTATAGCTATGTCAGTTAAGGGTGTGAAAAAAAAACCACCTGCTAGAGCTATAGCTCTGCTGACAAAACTTCAAGTGTAGACACAGCTAGGCGGACAGAAGAGGGATTCTGTCGGCTTAGCTAACTTTGGGAGGGGGTGTTCCTTCACCAGCAGAAAAACTCCTTCTGTCAGTGCATGCTGTGCCTACATGAGGGGGCTATGCTGGCAGAGGCTTTATAGTATATAATCATAGTTGTTGAGCAGTTTTGTAGTGTGGCCGTAGTATAATGTATTTTTGTCTTGCTTTTGAGGGCAGAAAACACAAAATGTATTAGGGACCATCCTTTAACCTTGTTAACTGTGCAAGATAAAACATAGCTCCCTAACCTAGGAAACACATATTTCTCCTCCACCCTGCCACCATCCAGACAAGTAACCACAGATTCTCAATGGTGTTTCAACATGATTAAATCTGTGGTATAGACAGGGCCTTTGCAAAACGCATGTGGCTCTTCCTCCAAAATCAGTATAGGGAGAGTGATGTCTGTCCAAAATGGGAAGACGATTTTAACAATTTTCTTTCCTATTTGGCCGTTAAGGCACTGAGGGCCATACTCTGTCACCACTGATTTCAATGAAGCTACTTGTGGAGGAAGGTGCTACTCAGTGAGAGTCAGGGTATGAACATCTGGCCTTTTCGTAGTGACCTGCTGTGGCTGTACCAAGGTCGCAGGAAAATCCATGAAATCCCATGAAGTTCTGGAGGATCTCACAGGATTCTGTTGGATTTCCAGTGTTTTTCTCACACCACTGTAATCACTGCTTTTAAGCTCATTTTGAGAACTACTATACCCATCTCAGTTCAGATAAGCAAAATAATGCAAGTTCAATCGGGTACCAATTCAGAATGTACAGTCCTATTTGTACAGTTATTCTTCTAGGACACTTATTCAAATATACAATGGTATCAGCAGGTATGTCCAGCTAAATTACAGAAGAGCAGGACGTGCTACTGTGACCTTAAGCAGTGCAATGCTGTATTAAGTGGTAGTGAGCAGGCTTCAGCAAGGTCTACAGTAGTCTTAAAACATTCCTGAGCAAGTAATCTCATTAGTCCATAAAATAATCTTAGGCACTGCACAGCCTGTACAAACACAGCTGCAATTCTCTTCCTTCAAGGAAGATACTAGAGAGAGGTGGCGGGGGCGGGGAGGAAGAGGAAGAGTGGAGACGAATGTGAAATGATCTGAGTTAGCAAGCTGGAGAGCACTGCCTGACTGCAGCAGCCAGGTTAGAAGTTAGCCAAAGGTGGGAGCACAAAATAGCAATAAAGCAGAGTCTGATAGTGGGGAAAAAAATGTAGAGTAGGTAAACTCAAGTGTTCAAAAACCAGAAGACAAATTAACCCCCTAAGAGATTATCTCCAAACTAAAACGCACACAGAACTTGCTTCCAGTGCTTGCACCCCCTTCCTATGCAGGTCAGCACCACAGCAACTAACACTGTGTCATGAAAAGAAAAGGAAAATACCCAAGAGGGAATGATGGATGCTGTGATCCCTACTTAGCCGTCAGAAAGCTGGCCGAGTCTGATACTGCATGACCCACTCCACTCCAAGCTTCAAACTAAACGCTACATGAAAATAAATGGGATGTTTGTCCTTTCTTTAGTACTATTGTTGGTTTCCATACTACTGCCTCCAGTCCATGGATACACATTGTTGTACGTTATAATTAAACATAGGCAAGTTACCTTTTCACTCTCATTATCAAGAGCAGAAGTGGCCTCATCTAACAACAAAATTTTTGGTTGCCGGAGAAGAGCCCTTGCAATAGCTATTCGTTGTTTCTGGCCACCCGAGAGCTGTGTTCCTTTATCTCCAACCCGGGTGTTGTATTTCTGTTATAAGAACATACAGTTGATGAAGCGAAAGTTTGTTTACATTACATTGCATCTGTAGGTGGAATTAAAAATAAATCTACAAGTTTCCTTTTACCCACCGCCCCTCCTCTAAATTTTGTGATGCAGAAAGAGTAGAAAATCTATTCTGGGGTATTACTGGATTTCCCATTGTGGCTCAGAGCATGGTTTGAGGTTGGGAGCAATGCAGAGACATACCCTCCCTTGCTACTGGTCTTGTGCACTCACTGTGCCTCAGCTATTGACCTACTGGTGATGGGGACAATCCCATGGAATAGTACATCTCACTTAAAAAACCAAAGTAGTATTTGAACATTAAATCAAACATTCCTATTTCAATAATGTAGAAAACTACATAAGGATAATAGTGCTGTAATATCAAAATCATCAGACCTTTCAGTACCTTGATATTTGATATATCTAACACTTGAGTCACTTGATTACCTCAGGAAGTTCTTCTATAAAAGAATGAATATTTGCTGCTTTTGCTACTTCTCGTATCTCATCCAATGGCACATTCCGACTGTTATCCCCATAGGCAATATTCTCAGCTATGCTGCAGTCAAAAAGCACTGGCTCTTGGGAGACTATTCCTATTTGAGAGCGTAGCCACTGGATATTCAAATGTTTTGCATTGATGCCATCAAACAGCTGCCAGCAACAACAAATGTCAAGTCAAGATTGGGTGTCTGATATTTCAATCAGACTTTATTCACAAACATTATAATTCTGATAAAAAATTATCAGAATAGCAAGAACTATTACTCAAAGAACTATCAAGAATTAACAGCAATGAATATTGAACCCCTCTGAAAAACCCTCCAGACACAGCAACAGGTGAGAAGACTTCACAGCACCAGCAACAACCTCCAATGTCAGCTGACTCATTCAGTACTGAGCTCCTTATATCTTGACTTTATTAAGTGTGTTGATTGTGTCATTGGTTTTTAGTGTTGGTGCTGATGAGAGCTGAGCAAAAATTGAAATTTCGATCTTGTGGCAAATTCCAATATCTTGACATTTGTTTTCATCCCAAAATCAGAATAAAAAGTCAAAATATATTTTTTTTTCATGAAATGAAAAGTTCTGAAAAATTTTCATTTGAAAGTGTTACAATATTTTGTTTTGACTTAGCTTGACATTAACTTGCATTGTTTTAATGTGCAGCAGTGCCTCATGGGAGTTGTAGTTTTGTGCCTCATGTCCCCTTTGGGCCAGCTCCCTGGCTATATTGTATCTCTTATGACGCACCACATGGCTTGGTTACAGGGAAGACCGTGGGAGTTAGCTTAAGTCCACTGGGAACAGGTTAAAGCTAAACCACAAGAAGGCAATCTTAAAATGAAATAAGAGTCCATGCAGGGGGTTGCATCAGCTTAACTATATTGATTAAAAAACTAATTTATGTTAAACTGCTGCAGATTTCTGGTGTAGGCAAGTTTTAAGGATAAACATAGCACAGATTAACTGCAAAGGTTGATTACTCTAACTAAATGCAAGTGAACTGGGGTTGTGTAATGAATTTGAGAGCCATGTGTTTTCCACCTGTGTATTTCCAAAAGAGTAGAGTCACAAAGTTTGGGGATCCCGCTGGTGTTTCAGGCCTGAATCAGCTGATTTGTACTGCCCATCTCTGAAGTGGAGTAGCACTATAAGAAACATTGTTTTCTGATGCCAGTTCATTAGCAACTCAAAGAGGACTCCTCTTAGTCATTAATCAATCATTCTCCATGAGATTAAATTTACATAGTTTCCAAAAGTAACATTTCCTTTAGGTCAGTGATCAGAGGACACAGTTTTCACTATGACTAAAAACTGTGAGATGTTTTTTTTTTTAAATTTACAGTTGATGTTTGTGGGCTTAGTTCTTGAAAAGAGATGTTATGTGGGATACTGACAGTGAAGAAGCCCAGTGGAAGAAGCAATAAACCAAAATTTCTAATCTGCTCACTCACTTCAGCTATAATTGGTACAATATGGCAGAATTTGACCTAATGACCACAAAACCTGCATGACACGCTCTGCTCAGTAGTTGCTGAATCAATATAAGAACAGGCATCCCAGTTGGCCTCAGTTCACTGCAGTTTGGTCACTGGGGCTTTTAAAATAGCAGTGACGCTTAAGTAGGAACACATGCTTAGAAAAACAACAATAAAATCACTAGTGCAGATATTATCAAAATTTAATCTTACCACTTGCCCTGTGAGAGGGTCATAGAATCTCTGTAAAAGCTGAACAGAAGTGCTTTTCCCACATCCACTGCTGCCGACAAATGCCATGGTTTGTCCTCTTTCAATCTGAAGAGACAAGCCTTGCAAGATGGGAACATCTGGGCGAGATGAGTAAGTGAAAGACACTTCACGGAACTCTAAACCTCCTTTGAATGTAGCCTGTGAGAAGAGATGGGCAATACTTTCATGTCACATGTGTTCTAAAACTTAAACAGAAGACTTCTTTAAACACTTTGCCCTAAAAACACCTAAGTCAAGTGAAATATTTATTACAGACATATTCCGAAAATGTCCTGGTTGTACTCAGATCCCCTGTTTTATTATTTTCACCAAAAGATTTCTAAACGATCCTGACAATGCTGGGTGTGATGGTGACTAACTGTTCCATATAACACTTATTAACTGTTCTTCAAATTTTATTCTACTATAATCAATCTTTAATTTTAGGTCTTGGACTCCATGCTTACATTTCCAGGAAAAGAAGTTGCTCAGTCTTAGCAGGGAAGACAATGGTAGCAGCTGATTCTGTCTCCGTATATGGTAATGTGCTATGTCCTCGCAGGACTTAGCCAAACACAAAAATTATTTAATCTAATGTCACCTGCTCTATGGGCACCACCAGAACCAAATAATGAGGAAGGGTCTCAGTCTCTGATGAACAAGGTCATCCTTGTTCTGATTCTTGTCTTTTTAGATTGTGATCTTTGTGTGTGTGTGTCAAGGATTGCATCTTTAGTATCACAGTAGCAACCAGATGCTACCATTAGGATCAGGGCCTTGTTATACTGGGCATTGTACAAACATAAGATAAAAGCCAGTCCCTGCCCCCAAAGAACTTGCCCTGCTACTGCAACCTGCTTGGCACAGGAGGCCCACTCCCCATTGGGGGTGGGTGCAGTGTAAGGGTCTGCCTATGTAGAACACATTGCAGGATCAGAGCCTAAATACGGGACATGACAGGACAGGTGGGTGTAGACCACAACAGAGGATGAAGAAGAAGAAAACAAGGGTGACAGTATTAGGAGCACAAGGTTTCATAAATTTGCTACAGTGTACAGCTTAGCAGGGATATAATCAATTACTAACAGGTTACTTATTATTAGGTGTCAGTACATTTTGAGCACAGCTGTAATATAAACAACAAAAGTACTGAGATGAATGGATAAAAGGCTTGTCACCTCACCATAGCCCAAAACACCCACCCTTCCAGCCTGTCTTTTTCTTTATTCTAAGCAGAAGTTTCAGTGAGGTGAGATAACTGCTAGCAACAAGGACATGTGCAGTACATTTAGAACTGAAGTTGCACTCACTGGTTTTTCTCCTTCTTGGCTGTAGCTATCAATGGCTGGTGTCCTTTCAAACAGAGCAAACAAGTGTGCGGCCCCTGATTTGGCTTTGGCATATTCAGGTGCAAATGTTAACGTCTCGCCAAGTGCCATAGCACCATATGTAATTGCAGAAAAAACTCTATAGGAAGGAAAACACAGTAACTTCTGGTTAGATGCCAGCTTCGTTTTGCGAGGCAAAAGCAACAGAAGCGCTAGCTTCTCAAAGGTCATGACATGCAGCAGACATTTAAGTAGTAAAGGAAATCAGTGCAAGACACCTCTTTCCCCTCTAACAACCAACATAAGCAAACAACCACTGCAGATTGTATTTTCAAGTACAAGGATGACATTGGGCTTTGCCTTGTGACCCAGGAGCCCTTCATATCCCCGGCACCCCTGCATAGAAGAGCAGCTGCAGTAGCTCTGTAGGGATTTAGGATGGACAGGGATAATCCATGGGGGTCCTAGGAATTCTTTAGTCCCCCTCAAATCTCTCACTAGGGAGCAACAGTGTCAGTGGCAAGACTGGGACTCAAGGCAGGAAGACCAAGAGGGAAGGACCTTGCTCAGGCTTAGGAACTCTTCACCTCACATTCTTCTCACCCTGCTGGAGAGCAGCAGTGGAAAACCAGAACTCGAGAGGCTTACGAGTTCTCTGACTGATTGTCCTTTTGTCCAAACGCATGACTGGAGTGGAGATACTAAGGTCAAGTCTCTGAGGGAAGAGAAATTGGAATAGGAAGTTCTGTAAGCCTGGATAGCTACAGGAGATCAGGCTCTTTAGGAGCTGGGAATTCTGGTAAAAAAATGGGAGTTGATGGATTCTTAATTGAAAAATCAATTAATTAATAACACCATACAGGAAATGGCTGCACTTTCTTAGTTGACATATCATAACTGCTTAAATTTGTAAAACAATACAGCAAAACAAGAACACCCATTGTGAGACTAACACAGCTAGGATTAGCTCTATGAGGGAGAATTGAGGAATGGATCCCGGAGGGTGCGGGGAAAATTATGTATAAAGGGATAGTTTGGTTAGGGATTTAGTGGAATTAAATAACAACATGTTTGGGATTATAGAGCAGGATTGGGTCAGTATTAAAATTTAGACTATGTCCAATGGCTGGATGAGAATCTTTCCCCTTTTCCTCAGCTAGAGATGGGATAGAGAAATCCCCTTTAAAAATAGTGTACTTGTATGGGCCAGACCCAAGAATCTGGTCCATATTATTAAATTATCAGGTTGTGAGTACACCTAAACTGAATAATCCTGTGATTTTATTGTTGCAAATGACAGGACAGGAATGTACCTGTCCTGTCATTCACCTGTGAAGCATCTAGTACAATTTTGGGTGCTATCAAATAAATTACTGCATAACTTTTCAGAACTACATTAACCTTTTACATTCCCTTCCCAAAATAAATACATAATAAATATAAATTAAAGCCCAGTATCAGCAAAAATAATGTTTAATGTATCCACATGAACAGCACTGATGCTTAAACTGATTTTGCCACAGGCATTTGCAAGAAGACACTCTGATTGAAGTTGTACCAAAGCATAGTGATACATATACAGCATATAGTAGATATGAGCAGATTGAGCTACGTATAATAGATACATGTGCTTCAAGAATTTTTGCATATATCATACGCGGTCAGGTTTAAGCACTGATTTTAAGGTCAGTTATCCATACCTAATGTTTTATACTATAAAGAGCAGAGGTTATAATCATTTAATAATAAATCTACTCTGAGTGAAAGACTAAAGAGACTAAAAATCATGTTTTAGCAGATACATGAAGACCTTGATCTTTTGATCTTGTTAATTGGGTTCTAGATCACAATCTTCATTTTATAATATTAATGATCAGCTAGAAGCTAAGTATATAAGATGAGCATATGGCTTCTGAAAGTCAGGCCCCATTAATGTATCTCATGTTGGGCACCAAAAACATTTTTGAAAATGTCGGGCTTAAAGCCCTCTGGAAACATAAGGCCCATTAATTGTTAGTTTCAACAACAACAAAAAAGGGGCATTTTAAAACATGGGGACCATCCATCTTGTATTTCTCCTGAGTTCACTCAAACCTGAGCCATTATTTTCCACAAACAGAATCTTACTTTAATAGCAAAGATTACGTGTAATCCTAACAAGACCTTTATTGTTCCTGACCTATAATTTCAAAGACCTTGTTCAGCCATCATTTCCGTGACATGAGGCTCTGATTTTCTTATAAGTTAAAGAAGAGAACTGCACAATACATCTTATATAAAGCAGGCAAACACAGTATTCCTTCATGAGGATTATCATGCTCAGTTTAGTTCAGGTTACAGTTAGGCAAGAGGGTGTGCATCCAATACAAAGAAAGACAGAGGGAAACAGGGCAGTCTATCAATACTTGCATGGTTTCTGACTGGGTACCAATACTTTTTCTCTTTCAAAAGAGCTTATCTGCACAGTCTGGCTCCTGTCAGCATACATGTGCTCCATACAATCTTTCCTGTACGTGCTACTTCAAGTGTCAAATTGGTAAATAACAGTATGGAAGAGGACCTGCTGGATGAGCCAGGTACAGTCCCTGAGGGACTAGCTTCTACGGCTGACTGGAGGACGACAATTCCCTTTCACAGCAACTTTTGCGGTTTCCAATTCTTTTATTCTGCATTAGAATTAAAAAAAAAACAACCCTTTTCCTGAAAGGAGGAGTATGTCACTCTATAGCTGGGTGTCTAGATCACTGCTGTGTGAGACCCACATTTAAGTTCCTGCTCTGTCTGATTCAGAGCAGAGCTCTTCATCCCAGACCACTTCAAACTCAGACAGAGTGGAGAGTTACAGCTTGATCTCTCACAGCTCAGGTGAATGGCCCAATCAACCTACTGTTCTCTCTCCACCCTTCTCTTTGAGCCCCCAAAGCTTTCCAGATGAAAGTTTTGTAGTGATAAATGCCATTTGACAAAACACATATTGCAGTGGAAATATTCCAGTGACTTCAAGTAGAGAGCAATGTTACAAACAATTAGTCTTCCCTGAATGTTTTGTAAAATCAAAGTAAAAATCAGTGGAATCATTTTTCTACAAAAATAACAAAAACTATAAGCTCCTCTCCCAGAGGAATTGCTAGATTTGCTTCTTCATCAACCATCCTGTTGGAAGCTGGCAGTGAATGTGTCTACACAGAATGATGAAATCAGGAGTGCATCATGCCCGCTGTGCTCCCATGGGAGTCAGGTAAGGGCAGTTTTAAAAGTGCAGCCTGGCTTTGTAGGTGCCCTGTCATACCAAGTCTATCAAAGCGATGTTCCGAATCAGCATATTGCTTTGATTTCACCACCTCCACAGCAAACACTGCCCTATTTTGGGGATATGCTAGCTGTCAACCCTTCTTGACCTGGAGGAATAGGTGCTTTGTCGTGTTGGCACACTTCACTGGGCAAATTTTAGCTGCCAGAAAACCTACACCTCCCAGCTTCCTGGGAGTTAATCGGATCCAATATTGTGAAAGCCCTTGCTGACGGAATATCACCCATTAGCATGCTTTAATGTTGGCTTGTTCCTGCTGTTATGACTCTGGTTTCTCATTGTCTACTGCAAAACGCAGCAGGCATTGCCAAGAAAATAGCCACTTTTCTAAAGCACAGTGCTGTGTCAGAACGACGATCATTTTCAGCATAAAACCAACCTGCCTCTCTCCTGCAACTGTGGGAGGATGTACCATCCAGAGAGCCCTCAGTTTTCTATATACTATTATGCCTACTGAAACCCAATAGGACAACACATGGCTAGTGCTTGGAGCAGGCGGTTAATAAAAGGAACTGTATTTTGCTTTAACTTCAATTAATGCCACATATTTTTGAAATATGCTCTCCATGACATGCCAGCTTACATGTCCATGCCCATCTACTCCACTGTCCTGTCTCCAACAGTGGCCAGAAGCAAAGGCTTTAGAGGAAGGTGAAAACCCAACTCATAAAGGATTATGTGAACCTGCTCTCTGAAGTTAAATCTCTCTGGAGTTCCTCACATTCTTTTCCAGTATGTGTCATCTGCTCACTCCTTCGCCATATTACTTATTAACACCAGTCCTAGTATTAAACCTCAGGGCATCCCACTAATAAAATTCTTTGCAGGTTAAAAACTGATCATTTATTCTTACTCTTAGTATTCTGTCTCTTAAACTAGGGTGACCAGCTAGCAACTGTGAAAAAAACGGGATGGGGGTGGGGGATAATAGGTGCCTATATAAGAAAAAGTCCCCAAAAATGGGACATCTGGTCACCCTACTCTTAACCAGTTTCTAATCCATGACAGAACTTTACCTCTCAGCTCCAGGCTACTTCATTTCTTTAAAGGCCTCTTGTGAGGGGCATTGTCAAAAGGTTATTGAAAGCCTTTATGGACTATTCCCCCTCTTGGACCTTTCAGGATTTCTCAACTGTGTAAAGGTCTCACAGGGATAAAAGACATCTCTACCGTTAATGGGATTTTAAAACTTTATGATGCTTCTTCCTTATCACAAGTCTCCTTTTCATCATAATCTGGTGTTTCTCTGTCAGCACAACACAGCAAACAGCTTCTCTTTTCTCTGACAAATTTGTGCACAAGCTTTTCACAGATTTCTCTATCACTTGCTGAGCCTCCTGGTAATGGGACTGATTTGAAATGTAACTCTCAATACTATCATGGTAGACAGCTATCTTCTGGAAATACTGGGTCAGTGTCACTTAATGACTCCTGCAGCTACTGGAAAGATATGACTACTTTTAATTATCTGAGCACTCCACTTGCTAATGTGTTATTGGAGTGTTTATTAAGATTTGCAAAAGTGTTACACTTTTGCAGCCTAAAAATGTGAAATGGCTTCATTTAATCAAAATAAAATCATAATATTTGTAAAGGAAAGTTTTTAAAGTAGATTCAAGGGGGAGATATATTTGGATATATAATAAATTGTTGGGGCAAAACCCAAGCAGATTCAAATGAGATATCATAAAATGTCTAGAATTCTGCTTTGAAGCGAGTGATACCAATTCAGATAATTCCATTACTAAAGAAAATGTCAGCAATTGCCACACAGATGCTGTGGTTTATATGGTGGTTTATACTTACAAGTATTGGAGACACTGTAGTTTCCCAGCATACATGTCAGGCCTTTTGTCTATCAAGGAATTTTAAATTTAGATTTTAAAAGTTCACACGGGGGTGCGTGTGTGAGGAAGAAGATGATAGATACAGATACTCCATTTTATGTCTGAAAGCCCCTATGCTTTTGGCAAATTTATAATGAGGCCTTCAGCTAGGGAACATCTGGACGTCTTTGGTCTAGGGTTATGAGTGCTTGCTCTATGCCTCATCACCATTTTGAGTTGGTGGGGGTGAGGAAGGTGACAAAAGAAGCAAGCTTTCCTCTCTCTCAATTCTTCTTGCAAATTATGCGAATAACCAAGCTAGCTAGCACCGGCATGTGCCTTAACCAGACGGCATCATTTTCAGATGTAAAGAAAAGCAGCACAAGAGATGTTGGGCCAGATTCTAATTTCAACACACTACCAACTGCAACCGTGGTACTCCTGATTTACTCCAGTGTCAGCAAGAAGACACCCAGCCCCTATTTTCATTATTTTTAATGGTTCAGTAATAGATCTTTGGCTCACTAGTGAGAGGAACCCTCACTTTCCAGATACCTGTGTGCTGTACTCTGTCCATCAACAGAACTCGCTTCTCTGTCTCGAGTAGCCATATTCCTCTACCACCACATCTCTGTCATGAACAGTCATGCTCAATACTTAACCATCTTCATTACTGTAATTTCTCTGTCTGCCTTTCCCGCTCCTGGGTGGCTGTTTTAAATTCTTGATCATCTGCTATGCAGCGGTGTCTGACCTCTGTTGCCAGTAACTCCCCAAACATTATTAGCATATATGATTAGGCACAGAAAGAATAAATAAGACGTGCTGCCAGACTGTGACACCAGATTTAGGCAGGCTCCAAAGATGTGTCATCAAATGAATGGAATGTGCCTAAGCCTTGTTTCCCAGTAAAAACTATCTCTACATTTTCCTGACTTGTACCACAAAATGTGACGGGGTAACCGGACAGAAGGAAGATCTGTTCTGCAGCAGTGAATGCCTAATGCAGGGATAAATACTGTCATAAACTGAGAAGCCATTTTCAAGTGGTTTTAATTGTAAAATCATTTCTTTGTAACCATCCCCCCTACTTTAATCTTAAGATCCAAAACCTCACATCCAGGTGCAATATAAAGAAGTCCTTAAGCACATGGTTTGGTTGCTGTATCAGGGCTCCAATGTGCAGCCTGAATACTGTGCATTGGCATAGGTGCTGGAACTAAGGTGTTGGGGGTGCAGCCATAGGAGCGTAGTTAGGGGGGAGCGGGGCAGCGGCCACTCTCCCACTGAACACAAGTGGCACCTTGTCAATGTCTTGGCGCCTTTTAAATTTTCCCCTGTTGAGGAAATTTTCCCACTGCGGTGCTTTTACTCACCCAGCGGCGCTCCGGGTCTTCGGTGGCACCTCGGCGGCAGGACCTTCAGTGCCGCTGAAGACACCCGGAGCAAGTGAGGGAGCACTGCCGGGTGAGTAGAAGTGCCGCAGCGGGTAGCACCTTCTTTTTGGATCATTCTCCCTGTTCCCTCCACCTGGCTACGCGACTGGCTGCACCCCCGGCTTGAAGCAGTTTCCATTATATACAGGTTTACCATTTGGTTCAATGGCTCTCAGCATCCCCACATACAAATTGTTCCAGTGCTCCTGTGCATTGGGTACATATGAATGTAGGAATTCCCTTCAGCCTAGATGCTGAAGTTTGATGGTCTCTGTGGCCTTTAAAGGCTCCCTCTGTCGATGGCATGGGGCAAGCTCCAATCATTCCCTGGCCCATGGCTGCTCTGCCCCCAGGTACCCTGGTGTACAGAGAGGTGCTGTGAAGTGAGCTCTGTGCTGTGAGAATGCAGCCCTCAAACACTACCCTTCTCACCCCTTGTTATGCAGCTGAACTCTCCTGGTCCTCTGTACTTGTAGCAGAATTTGCCCCAGTGGGCTTGTTTATATTCCGTAATATCAGAATTTGGATATCCTTTGGGTCAATGACAGAACTTTAATTTAATAGCACACTTTTCCTTTCCCAAGCAAAACTCTATGTATCCGAATAATCAGAAACAGGCAGCAAATAATACTTCAGTAAATGATAATTTTCTAGGGCCTCCATCCTGCAGAGGTCCACGTGGATGGATCTCTGTGCAGATCTCTCTGCATGCAAACCCAGTGCCCAAGTTTGTTTATGCAAACAAACATTAGTGGAAAAATTGAAACCAATTTTACATGCTGAATTTACTGAAATTAACAAAACTTGTCACAAAAACTCTCTAATCCTTGAAGCAGACATTGGTACTAACGTGCTCCACTAGGGGCTGTCGTTGTATTTCAATAACAAATACAGAAAATAAACTTGCCTCCTTTTAGTCTGATAATAATTTATCTCCGTGACAGTGTTGTGAGATGAGGAGGATGGGTGTTGGGGGATTTCCTCGGGGATCTAAGGGGAGATGTAAAATGGCACACTTTGAATAGTTGTTCATTTATGAGACTCACGTGAAAACACCCTCCGGGGTCATTCTTCCAACTGTAATTAAGTATGCTCCAAACCGAAAGCTCGCCGCATAGGTGAAATACATAAAAGCCTGGCTGAATGCATAACAGGAACCATAGATCTGAGCTTTCTTCTGAGCATTTCTGCAACATACAGTATTTAAAAAAAAACATGGAACAACTGTAAAAATATGAGGGATATTCTACTTGTTCAGAGAGAAACTGGGCTTATGTATGCTGTAGCTAGTACAGCTTCACTCCCAGATATGCAAGAGAGGCCACACATAATAGACACCCCAAATTTCTCTAGAGTGGAAAGCATGCATAGATGTCAAAAATGCCCAAGGCTGATCTACACGAAAACCACCACACTGCTTCCAGTGGTGGAGATGCAAGAATGAGGGAGAATTATGGGTCCAGTTATGGGTAAATGAAACTGTAAAAAAAAACTATGTAGCATACAGCTTTAGCCAAAGGTCTGATCCTGGACACACTTACACATAACTTTTCTTCCATGGATAAAATCATGCAGCATCAAACTAGGGAGGCCAGGGTTTCCTGGGACAGGAGAGAAGAGTGGCCTCCAAGGGTGGTCTGGGCCTGTGTTGACTGATAGGATATCTAGCCCCACCACTACTTCTGTGCCATGTCTACAGAATGGAAATTTACCAATACATTCCCACCAGTTCTAACAGCAGTTCAGTTAAGCTGGACCCCTGCCAGTGCTAGCCAGGATTCAGACCAAGAGATCAGCAGGACCTGTGCTTAATCCACTACCGCTTGGGTCTTGAGAGAATTCCCTGTAGAACCACGTACCAGTCTGAGCCTGAAATCATATTTATAAGTGTTTGCAGGATTGGATCCTAGAACTGCAGATTTATACTGTATATTTAAACTACCCCAGTCTTCCCACTCAAGCATCTTTTCAGTGAGTTTAAGAGAAATTATGCTGACACACAAAATATTGTAATTTGTTTAGAATATATCACTAACAACATGCTTTATGGACTATCTGAATTACACTTGATGTGCAAGCTCTTTCATTCTTTCCTCAAGATGATATCCTCCTTAACAAAACAGCCATATGATGTATTAATTTTGTTTGTTTGCCTTTGTTTTTTTCTCTGCAGACTATTAACTTAATGTAATATTTTAAATGGATAAATAAAATAGAAAAAGAACAAAAAGGGACAATTGCAATGGAGGAAAGGGCAATGCACATGGTCTCATCATGACTGATAACCACTGGGATTGGCTGGCTTAACATGACATGAATCATTTCTGACCTGTATGGCTTCTGCAGATTTTCTTCATACATTTGTTCAAAAGTGCTCTCTCTAGTTAATGAAGCAACGGTTTTAATGTTCTCCACAGCTTCAGTTGCTACCTTTATGTAAACAGGAAAATCAAAAGACAAAATGAGATGGAAAAAAATCACCACTGGTCCTTCTCAACATAGTCTGGGATTGGTAAAAAATTTTTTTTACAGAGGAATGTAATTACTTATACTTATGGTGGTAATATACTGAATGCAGCAAAATAAATAGCTGGTTTGTTTGTGCAAAGGCTTAATCACAGAAATAAATGCAGGTGCTTTTATTTCAATGTTCCTAACTCCGGATATACACCTAAATGTGCGAAGTTAGACTGAGATTCGCTGGTCTGGTCGAGGGGGTGCTTCAGCTGACTCCTTGAATGGTAAGTAAGAGTGAACTCTTGTTGATTTGTATATGTGATTACTGATTTATTCTTTTTTGGAAAAAATTAAAATAGAGTGCTGGTGGGGTATTAGCATACACACATACACCCCCCACCAACTATATAAACTGGAATGGTAACTGTTATTATTAATTATTATTATTATTATTATGTATTTGTATTGCAATAGCACCTGGGAGTCCTCATCATGGACTGAGACCCTATTGTGCTAGGCACCGTACAAAATGAAAAAACAGATGGTGTATTGAAAACGAACCCTGGAGGGGGGTCACATTACAGACCAGATTAGAAATAGAAGTTTCTATACTTCGTTTGTTCCACTAGATTAGCTGTGTTATGAAGAAGCTGTATTTTACCTTTCCTGCTTGTTGCAGTTCCTTTTTATCTCGGTTGGCAAATCCAGTCAACGCACTGGTCTCCAGCATCCCAGTCACAGCAAGCACCGGCGCCATCACTAGGATCAGCAGAGTCATCTCCCACCCATATATAAAAGAAATGATGACAGACAATCCCATGCTGGAGATGTTTTGTGCTATTACACCAAGCCTTGTACCTGTTGCCTGTAATCGGGTAATATGTGAAAACTGTAATTTGCTAATGGGTTTTAAATACAATCCTTTGCCCTACCTGATAACAAGCAGATTAAAAAAACAAAAACAACCTCCCCCCCCCCACACACACACACCTTTCAGAGAGAGATCTTTCACTCTGGCCTCATCTCCCCCAGCAGAAACGGGCTGTGTCATCCAGTACTGGTTACTGTTTTTAAAAACCAGTCTTATCTGTTGTTTGAAACCTCCATTCCCACACTGAGAGCCCCACCAAAAAAGCTGCGCTTCTCACAGCTATTAGTGACCAACAAAGAAGCCATGGGGAGTGATTCAGACAGTAACTTACAGTGGACACAGGATGTTAATTCTGCTTAAGGAATCTTGACAGCGCCTGAATTTTTTCCCCTCGTGTTTATTTTTTAAAACGAGTTATTGAAAAATAGCAGGCTTGGCCTTTTATTGACTGCTTGAAATTTAAAACTGAACCCCACAATCTCTACTAACATTTATATAGTGCTTTCAGCTGAAGTGCTTTTCATTCAGTCACTCTCCCTTTCACCCATCCCTTGTTCCTTCTAGAGATAGGCTAATCTGAAACTCCAGATCTCAACTCTGTGGAACTCCAAGTTTGCCCTGTATCATTACAATGGGCTGAACCACAACCCTATATCCAAACACTCATGAACTTTAGGAAAGCTCATATCCAAATCCAAACTTGTAGTTCAGACCCCTATGTACTGCATAATGCTTGCTTCACTCACTCCTCCTCTCTAGCTCATGACTCCCTAGCGTTCCCTTTGTCCCTTCATTCTAAATCTAATTCTCTCCATTCAAATATCTGTCCCCTCTTCTCCACCTTTTATCAGTAACCCTGCGCCTCCTTGCTTTCTCTCTTCCCAGTCTTGTCCATCTCTCCCTAAATCTGCCTTCCTCCTTCCACTAGTATGATCCAATGCTCATGGCCACCAACCTCCCAACAGCTGAATAGCTGTGCTTGTCCCTAGCTTTACAGATAGTGTCATGTTGTAAGTAACCTGGCAGAATGGTCCATATTTAATATTAGCGTTACACAGATACAAAACTCTCTCTCCCTCTCACACACACTCCCGTACGGTACGTACTGTTTGAATTTGTGCTGCCTCTGTGGCTAATCTTGTTGTCAGAGCTCCGGTGTTGTTTTTCTTATCATCAAACCAAGAGATTTCCTATGGAACAAAACAGAAAAATGTGGTTACTCAGTGAGAGCACGGTCATTTCTCCCCTTCTTGCTTTATTATGAACAAAATCTTCAATGTCTGAGTATGTCTGTTTGCACATGAAAAACAAAAAACCACTAAACATGTATTTATTCAAAAGCGACCTCTCTATTTAATGTGGATAGTTACACATGCAAATCACGTTAACCAATCTGTGCATGCAATTACTTGATTTATGAATACAAATATCCATTTGCAGCCAGATAATAACCCACTGTAGACTGATGTAGCTCCGTTTACTTCAAGCCAAGCAATGCCGATTTACACCTGTTGAGGATATGGTCTATGATTTTTTGTGCGTTTAAAATTTATATTCTTGCAAATATCAGAGATAGTTGTAAAGACCCTTTAAAATGTTGGTCCTGTGTGTTCTTAGCAAGGCAATAGCAGAACTCTGAAGATAGCCTAGATTTTGTATTTTCTTGAAGTCCTATGCTCTAAGCCTCCTCTCTTCTTGCACACTCTGGGGCCTTCCCTATAAATCTTCTTATGCCCAGCATCCTGCAGTCTGAAAGTAAAGGAGGCCAGCAATTAGCCTTTACAGAATGGATGTCATGCTAGTTTAGGAGCCTTGGGTGGCCCTATATATCAGATTGACTTTTAGTTACTGATCAACTGAAATCAGTTATGGGCTACAAAAGGAAACCAGCTGACCTGTCAGCATCAATATAGTCTCCGATTTCAAGGCTGGGATTGAGATAAGTTAATTGCTGGACTTGATTTGTATATATACAGAGTGATGTGAAGAAGGCATAAAAAAGAATTAGTTATTCAAATATTTCTTTAAACTAAACTTCACTATCGCTTATGAACACTATTTTGACGCAGATGGTAGATTTAGCTGGGGTACTTTCATTCTGTCACCATGGCCCCTTCCACACTTGTGCAGGGACACAGTTTGCTAAAATGGATTTAAAAGGCTTCAGGTCAGGCTAAAATGGTTTTAATATGAGATTAGATTAAGTGTTTTTAAAACCAAAAATTAAAAGCATTGCAGAAAACATGGTTCAGCACTCATAAGCCAAGAATTTCCACTTGCCGGCCATTAGAAAATACAGGCCTCATCCTGAAGACCATTGTGTCTTCCCACTGACTTCAGTGGGCTGAGAATCAGGCCTTTGCGTGGAAGGTTTAGGCCCTGTCTATACTGGCAAGTTTCTGTGGAGTAAAGCAGCTTTCTGCGCTGTAACTCCCGAGGTGTACACACTGCCAAGCCACTTTGTGCACAGAAACTGCACAGTTACAGCACTGTAAAAAAACCACCCCAAAGGGCGTAGAGCTTTCTGCGCCTGGGCTACAGCACTGCAGTGCCAGTGTAGACACTGTGGTTGATTACAGTGCTGCGATTGGCCTCCGGGAGGTGTCCCACAATACCTGTTCTCGTCTCTCTGGTCATTGGTTTGAACTCTACTGCCCTGCCCTCAGGTGACCAACCATCATCCCCAGCCTGTAGATTACTTTGGAATTTTGAAAGTCCCCTTCCTGATTGCTCAGTAACACGTGCAGTGGTCTCAGGGCATCTTTTCAGGTGGCCATGCCTGCTCCACGCACAAGGTGATCCCCCGCTTGGAGCAATGCCGAGCTGCTGGACCTCATCAGCATTTGGGTACAGGAGGCTGTGCAGTCCCAGCTGCGCTCCAGCTGTAGGAATTATGATATCTATGGACAGATTTCACGATGCATGACAGAAAGGAGCCATGACTGGGACACATTGCAATGTAGGATAAAATTGAAGGAGCTTCGAAATGCATACTACAAGGCTGGGGAGGCAAACCACTGCTCCAGTGCTGTGCCCATGAGCTGCCGGTTCTACAAAGAGCTGGATGCGATACTTGGTGGTGACCCCACCTCCACTGCGAAGACCACTGTGGATACTTTGGTGGCTTGTGTGCCAGTCAAGAGTGGACCGAGCCAGGAGGAGGAAATCTTGGACGAGGATGTGGAGTGGGAGGGGGACCCAGAGGCAGAGGATGACTTGGAGGTCAGAGATACATGCAGCCAGGAGCTCTTTTCTATCCCAGAGGAGGCTAGCCAGTCACAGCTGTCGAAGCTTGGTGAAGCGCAAACAGGAGAGGAGGCCCCTGGTAAGTGGACTTGATTTGGGGACTTGCTGAAGTGAGCTGTTGGGGGCAGGAGGATTGTAGAAAGCAGGCTTGTCTCCCACCGCATGCCTAGTCTGAATGGCAGAATAGGCTGTCGATTGATTCCTTCACTTCACAGGAATCTCCCTCAGAGCTCTCCAGGAAACTCTCTTGGAGATACTGGGCAATCTGCTGCCACAGGTTCTTTGGCAGAGCTGCTTTGTTTCTTGCCCCATTAACAGTAACTTTCCCGTGCCATTGTGCCGTCATGGAGGTGGAAGGGGGGCATTGCTGCACACAGGTGAGCCACGTAGGGACCACGGCAGAAGCCGCAGTCTTGGAGAAGACCCTCCCTTGTTTCCCTGCTCACCCTCACCAGCGAGATATCTTCCATAATTATCACATCCTGTGGAAAGTGTGGGGACAGGAATGATTATCAGCGCCCCCTCCCCCCCCCCGCAGTGCTGTCTCTTTCCAAGAGCCACATGCCCAGTGTACAGCAGGGTCTGGGAACAGTGATTTACCCTGCCCTGTGGCTACTCACCATTTTGGGGGTCTTGTGGCTCATGTGTGCTTGCCTGGGGTCAGCCAGTTAGTGACAGGCGTGTGAATACTGGCTGTGTTTTAAATCACTGAATCAGTGTTCTGAGTGTTGCAAACAATACTGCTTCTGTAAAATGTTGCGTTTAAATTTAAAAGAGATGACCTTGGGAGCACATCCTCCCTCTTTGTTATCAGTGGCTGAATGGTGGCACAGAATTAGAAAGCGGCCAAGAACTAAGGAGGCCTTTCTGTTATGATGCACTCCACCGCCGAGAAATAGGAATTGAAGGAGTGGCAGGACAGCAAGAAGAGAGACCGAAAGGAGAATGCAGCATGCCAGAATGAAGTCATGGAGCAGCTCTGAAAGGTTATGGAGCGCCAAGCAGACACGCTCCAGGCGATAGTAGCTCTGCAAATCAAGCAGCTCCGCACTCACCCTCCCCTGCAGCCACTGTTGCAAAACTCTTTCCCATGCTCCCCCCAGACACTGCCAACAGCCTCTTCCCAACTTCCTGGCTCCAGTCTATACCTGCGGCATTCCACTCCGCCCCCTCACAGTCCAGTACTGCGGACTCCCAATACCCACTGCACTCAATACCCATCCCTTTGCAGTTTGCCCTGCTGAAGTACAGCAACCATTGCACTGTACTCCAAAGGAGAAGGTCCTCTTGGGACCTTCCCTTCTCCCATCCCCCTCACTGCTGATTTTTTTTTTGTTTGACTCTCTCCTCCGGTTGTTGTTTTTAATAAAATAATTGTGTTGGCTTGAAAGCAATCTTTATTCTATTAATTGAAAGCAAAAAGAGCCCTGCAAAGCAACATACAATTATGTTAAACCCACATATTGCATCATCTGCACCAATCACCTAGCTTTACAAGCACTGCACTCCCAAGCATAGCAACAAATATTAGTGGCTTTCAGCTTCAAATTGCTGCCTCAAGACATCCCTGATGCTCATGGCCCCGCGCTGCTCCCCTCTAATAGCCTTGGTCTCTGGCTGTTCAAACTCAGCCCTCAGGCACTGAGCTTCTGTGGTCGAACCCTGAGTGAAACTTTCACCCTTCCCTTCACAAATATTATGGAGCTTACAGCACATGGCTATAAGCACAGGAATATTGTCATCGGCCAGGTCCAGCTTCCCATAGAGGCAGTGCCAGCGGGCCTTTAAACGGCCAAAAGCACACTCCACAGTCATTCTGCACTTGCTCAGCCTATTGTTGAACCACTCCTTGCTGCTGTCAAGTTGCCCCATGTATGGCTTCATAAGCCACAGTATTAAGGGGTAGGCGGGGTCTCCCAGGATCACAATGGGCATTTCAGCTTCCCCTACGGTGATCTTCTGGTCTGGAAAGAAGGCCCCTACTTGCAGCTTCTTGAACAGGCCAGTGTTCCGAAAGATGCATGCATCATGCACCTTTCCGGACCAGCCTGCGTTAATGTCTGTGAAACACCCACGGTGATCCACAAGCACCTGGAGAACCATTCAGAAATACCCCTTGTGATTATTGTACTTGGTGACTAGGTGGCCTGGTGCCAGAATTGGAATATGCGTGCCATCTGTTGCCCCTCCGGAGTTAGGGAAGCCCATTTGTGCAAAGCCATCTACGATGTCACGCACGTTGCCCAGAGTCATTGTCTTTCGGAGCAGGATGCGATTAATGGCCCTGCAGACTTCTGTCAGCACAAGTCCAATGGTAGACTTTCCCACTCCCAACTGCTTATCTACCAATCGGTAGCAGTCTGGAGTAGCCAGCTTCCACAGTGCAATCGCCACATGCTTCTCCACCGGCAGGGCAGTTTTCATTCTTGTATCCTTGTGCTGCAGAGCTGGGGCGAGCTCATCACACAGTCCCTTGAATGTGGTTTTCCTCATCCAAAAATTATGCAGCCACTGCTCGACATCCCAGACATGCATCATGATGTGATCCCACCACTCAGGGCTTGTTTCCCGAGCCCAAAAGCAGTGTTCCACTCTGGTCAGCACCTCCGAGAATGCCACAAGCAATCTCATGTTGTAGCTACTACACGTGGAGAGGTCAATGTGGAACTCCTCTTGCCTTTGTAAGGAATAACTCCATTGCCACTCATGATGTGTTGGTCAGAGCGAGCAGCATAGTGGGTCAGCAGTTCGGGATCCATTCCTGCAGCCTGAAGAGTCAGGGAGCGCCGTACACGAACTGTTGAAAGATGGCGCCAAATGCAGATGGAAGCACAGGGATTGCTGGGATGTGAAGCAATGCATCACGGGGCATTGGACAGGACCCAGGAAGCCCTGCGACCCTCTCTGCCTTCTCAGAACTCTTACTGGCGGAAGAGGAAGAGGT